ACTTTCATAAATTTCATAAAAATTGAGAGTATGAAAAAAAAACTTGGAAATTTCTTTAGTTTTTGACGTGCAAGAATTGGAAAAAAACCCAAAAGACACTTATTTTGACCTATTTAATATTCTAAAAATCTTTTCTTTTCTCTTCTTCATTGAAAGATTTTGCCTAACTAAATAAAACACCTTTATTTCAATATTAGTTTAAAAAATTTTATCTGAAAAGGCTATTTTTTTTAAATTAGAATTGATCATTTTAAACTATTATTATACCCAAAATGTAAAACTTCGTTATTTGAAATTATTCGCCTAATAATATTAGTTTTACTCTCAACAAAAAAGGTGCCTATTTTGAAACTAAATAACAAATTTCCAGTGTAATCAAGTTAAAAAAATCTCTGAAGATATTTCATTTGCAGCAACTATTGAAGTCTCCAAAATTTAAAAACCCAATTTGGACACCGCACGTCTCAAACTCACCACCTTGGAGGCTTGGTTGTGCAATCGGTCGACAATAAAGTCTTTCGTATCCCAATTTTTCAGTCGGAAAAAATCTTTCGCTTTGGGCGTCGGATGGCCGTTGACGGTCGCCGCCGCTGGCCTCCGCTTGTCCACGACGTCGCCGTCATTCACAACAACAACAACAGTCTTGGCAGTCGACATGCTGTCTGAATAACTGAACCAAAAATGACCAAAGCCGCAGGGATACACCACGTTCATATAGAGACCCCCACCCTGCCGCTCACATTTATCCTCTGGCGGAAGAAAAATATTTTTTTCATCCTTATGTAATTATGAGTTTCGTTAAAACATAAAATGCGGTGGAAGAATCTGGTTTTGGTGAGAAAAAGTGATAAAACCAGACTTTTAGTCTTTCTTGGTTGTGCCGCACATTTGACCTTTCAACCTGTGCCTGATGACTTTTCTTATCATTAGTGCTGACCATTATTTACAGTCTTGATCACTTCTAAAAAAGCCGTGCTCAAACTGAATTTTTAATTTTAATTTTCTAAATTAATTTTATAACGTTGGCATATTTTAGTTATTAAAATTTATTTTTAATTTGCGTCAGTGGAAGATAAGAAGCATTCTAAGAAATTTTTTTTTTTGCATTTTTACAGCACCATTAAAGCCCTCTCATATGAGGATTAAAATTCTTAAACATAAACGTTGCTTTGAGCTATAAAAATAATAAAAAAGTAAATGTAGGCAAAAAAAGCAGGAAACTATTTTGCTATTGGTGCAAATAATTTTTTAGTTGAGCTTTTTATGTAAAATTGTATAAAAAAACAACGATAATTTCCTTATTACAAGTTTGCCTTGATAATATAGACGCAATAGAATCTAATTTAACGAGCCTATATTTTTTCAGCCCAGCTTATGTAGATTCCCTGTCAATGAAATAGAAACAAGCATTCTCGATGTGCCGACAGGTGAGGCGACGACAAGTTCATAAAAAATGCATCTCTTCGGCAGCACTCGAGGGTGTTTGCCCGTATTATTTACATTATTTTCGATAACCTCGTAACTCTCTTGCGTATGTTTTGTTTGCTCAGCGTCGCAATCAGTCAATCAATTAGGCGCGCGCGAAATCAAGAACGGCTTCTGTCACCACCAAAAGGCAAAGCGAAAAAGGCGAAACCACACCTCGCGCGGCGTTTCCGTCTCTCCGATAAAAGTTTCGTCTATATCGGGTGGGCTACGTGCCCAAATTGAGCGGACGCGGCCCTCGAGGGGCGCTTATCTGCGACTTTTTCGGAATGAATCTGTCCAAATACGCCGAAGAAGATCGCTGACGAATAGAGAGCGTCAGACTTTGCATTTTGCGAGCAACGCCTGCGTTGTTTGCAGCCCGATACGAAATTGAGAAAAACGATCGATGACATCATCACAACCTTTTGATATTTTGGTGCGTAAATTAGACGCTATATAGCGAAATAAATGAAATTCCTCAAAAGGAATTTGATAATTTATGGACACAATTATTTGCAGCATAATTAAATTCCTTAAATTATTGCCTTGCAACAATAATTATGAATTCTAAGTAAAATTAAAGAAAGGATTTCATTTAAATAAGTCATTTTTGTAAAGTTTTTGTTATTTTCCTGATAAAATCGCTGTGCATATTACTCATCTATTTAATTAAAGAGAAGTTTGCAAAGTAAGTAGCCCAATGCTTTGTGAGTCATTGAGAATAGCGGTGAAAGAACATAAAAAAACGGTTTTCCTCAAATTGCCGAGCTTTATGCCTTTCATCACAATAACTTAATGAATTCAGAGGCAGGCTAACGCCACCAGCACCAAGCGATTATGCAGATGCAGCGTTTCTTTCAACACAGTAGCTATTTCTAATTAGCAACAGGTCGCATTTATGGACAAAAATCACAAATTCGCAGAAATCGGACGTCGTAAAATAAGAACATTTCGTTGTGCAAATAATTACAACTTTGTCAACAGCTCATCCCTTTGTTGTTTTTCTTGAGAAGCAATAAAAACTTCAAATGATTCATATCGTGTATTGATATAGAGAAAATTAAAAAAATTAAATTAAATAAGATGAAAATTACGATTATTGTCATCGAAACAAAGTAGGCCCTAGGAATAGGCTGAAAATTCCAAGTTAACTGAACTATACACGTTTAGAAATTTGCTTTTTTTCTTAAAAAATAATTAAAAAATAAAATGATTTTAATTTGAATTAATAATTTGCGCCTAAATTTAATTAGATAACAAGTTTTTATTCACGAATAAATGATTAAATGTATATTGATCTTTGATGTTGTTTAAAAATCAAACTTTTTGCAAATTCTCTTTTTTTACTAACTCAGGTTAAAGGATTCAAAATCGTTCAGCATCCGACAAATGGCTTAAGGAGCGGAGCAGCAGTGTCAAGAGTGTTTTTGGTGCGGAATGCAAAGCACGCGTTGAGCCTGGGAGAAAAATGAGCCGCTCGCTCCCGAGAGCGGCTCCATAGACAGCCCATTTGCACTTGGACTACTCGGAGCACGCGGAAGAAAGTGCGCTGGGCAAAAAGCTCCATTTGCAGGTTGACACGAAAATAGAGCAGCGGCCCGTCGGGAATTTCTCGCATTGGGTGTGTGGATATAAACATGATTACAACAAAAGAGAGTGCGGAGAAGTAACAAACAAAAAGTAATCCGTGCACTGTATAGGAAATATGATGGCGATGAAATTTATGCTTTTCTCTTTAGAGGATTGCGTGTGCTGTCCAGGCCGTAAATGCACAAATGCATAATTGCAGCACGTTAGAGCCATTCGGGATGCAAAAACCATAATCGTCTGCAGAAAAAACACTACGTGTCATCGTTTGAATTTTCTCACAAGTATATATTTTTATCGCAATGCATATTATGTGCAATTCTTGCGTCACGCAGTAAAAAAATGTTATGTAGTTCATTTTTAATTCGAGATTCAAATTGCCGTTCTTCGCGCCTCGCTGGTACTGGACCGAGTTTTACGAGGGTAATTTGAACATCATCAAAAGTATTTCTACGCAGAGATAACGAGAGGCGCACAACTTTTATGCTACGCTTTTTGCTGATCGTTGTTTGGGTTCACGGATCGTGACCACATGGGCTGCCGATGACGGCGATTCGTTTGCAAAACACGCTCGCCGCTGAAAGATTAACTGCTGAGAGAACGACGCAATCTGATGCGTGAGCCATGGAGTTCCTGTGATTTTCAAGAGCAGCCTCAGCGCGAAAGAAAGAGAACTATATGCGTGGACGGAGAGCCGTGACTTGGACAAAGCGCTTTGAGTTGCACATTGCAGAATCTCATTTAGAATGTAGGTGGGTACTTAAATTTATATTTGAAAATGAACTTTGTAAGTATAGAAGCACGAATAGAATAATATAATATAATATCAAGCACCCTATTGTAAAATAATGAATCCATGCTATTTAAAAAACAAAAATAATTATTCAATGTGGATTAGAAAAGTATAATATTTTTCTATTTTTGCTCCAATGAATTTTTTATCTTTTACAAAGGGTACAAAATCATATAAAACTGCTGCTTTTTTAATTTAAAAAAAAAAGAAATTCAAATTCTTGGATAAAAACTAGTTTCTCAACATTTTGATTTGGTTTGATCTGATATACCTTGGCCTACAGGAGTGCTAAATTTAGGGAAAGCTTAAACAATGAATGTTCTGGAATTTATATTGTTGGTCGTCCGGCAAAAGATCCTAAAAATAAATCAGCCGTTCAAGCCGCAGACGTCAAATTACCATTTGGCGCGTTTTATTAGCTGGCCGTCGATTGAGCAGTGTTTGTGAGGCGGTTTCGCCAAAGCTCCTATACGTGCAGATAAAAGATGACCGCGGTCAGAAGATGAGATCCACAACGCAATTGAGCACGTGTGCAAAATAAAAAGGGCAGAGATTACCTCTCGCCCACCTTTCTCTCTCCGCGCAATTATCAGCGAAAACTTCTTAAGCCCACCCTTTCGGTGCCGGAACCCTTGGCCAGCGGTTGATGATAATGAAACGGGGACGCACAGAAGCGTGAGAAAGTGAGGTGTTCTCACTAGATGAGCTGTACGACAATTAGACACTTTTTGAGGAGAGGAAGAATATAAAATTCTGGGATTTAAAATTGCATTCTTCTTCATCAATCGATACTTCTGCCGGAGAAATTAAATTTGAAGCAATTTTTAGTGCAATTATTATGTAACTTTTGAGGTAGAGAAATTTTATCCTATAATTAACTTTCAGTGCAAGTTAATTAAAAAAAAACAACAACAACAATAAAGAGGGCTAATATTTAAGTTCTCCATTTTCTTTCAATTCACCTTCTCGCTTCTTCATTCCCACTTTGAAAATATAAGATGTACTAAAATAATTTCAGAAATATTTAAAAATTAGCAAATTTTCATAAAATTCCCTTTACCTGTTGTGTGTTTTAAAATTTCAAAGGCTGAAATAAGTATTTTAAGTAAGATTCTCGCAATTTTTTTTCTAATTTAAATAAAATAAGTCCTACCTCAACAACTTGCTGGTGCAGAAGGTCGAAGGTCTCGGACTGGTTGAGAAGGTTGCGCAGACGGATGGGTTTGCGGTGCGAAGGTGACTGGTGGTGGTGGTTGGCCGAGGAGTTGGCGACGGGCGGCGCCGGCGACGTCGGCCGCGGCTGCAGGTGCTCCTTGTCCCTCATGGTGTGCGTGAGGGACGACGACTGACGCTGCCGACGACCGGCCGAGCCGCAGGGTGCACCTCAACCCTGCGCATGCACCGCACAGGCAACCGCCGCGCGCTACCAGATGAATGAACCGCGAGCCAACGAGGAGGACCAGCAGGTCACGCAATGCACCAGGCCAATGAAAGCGGGCTGTGCAAACAAAATTTTTATTGGTATGAATGGAGATTTAAAATTCAAATAATGCTTGTAAGATAATTGTTATTTTAAAGTATGAGGAATCGTTATGCATTATTTAATAATTTAAAGGTGTCTTGAACATTAAATCTTCTGCAAAAAAAGCATTGCAACCAGAAATTGAATTATAATTTGGTTAGTGATTTATTTATACGATGTTAACAAATTTAATTAAATAAATTAACAACTATTTTATAACTAATAAATTACTAATAAGCTATGGAAAAGTAAATTAAAATTAAAATATGTAAGATAAAAATTTTTTTATTTTAAAAATTAATGATAAGTACATTAATATATTGAAACTACTTATTGTTAATATGTGAACAATTTGAATACAAATTAATGTAAAAACTTTAAAATGTTGAACTATATAAAAAAAAATTTATAGCATTTATAATTTCTTGAATTTCCATATTCAGGGCCTTTACAACTAAATAATAATATTGAAAAAGATTTTCGGTTCCTTATATTAGTTTTATTGATAATCAGCGAGTAAAAACAGTAAAAGTTCAAACTAATCTACCATTTCCAAATTTAATGTAACGTCCTCTTAGTTTCTAAAAATTTCAAATAATACGCCACACATGATTTAAAGGGCCACGGGCTTCAAAAATTCTATCATATTACAAAGCGAAAAGTAGCATGTAAACAACTCACGTGCTGTTTTGGTTGGTTTTTGCCGTCTCTTGGCAGCTGTAACCGCAGCTAAGCTCGGATTTCACTTGCGATTTTTCACTCGGTCGCCGACCAACTGAGCATCTACATTCAGAGCCGAAGCTGTGCTCCCCAACAGGTCGCTTTATCTGATCTGCAGCGTGTGTAAACTGGCCGGCCTGGTGGCGCGTCAGTGCCGAAGCTGCTTCTCGTCCGCCAGCAGCACCCGCTTGTGCACCTGATCGGTGTGTATTTATTTATTTGTTGCGCCGCTCCGAAAAGCCATTGTTCCTCCTCCGACGACGTCTGTTGTTGTAGTGCACAAGACACACGAGTTATTTTCTCCAGAAGCCCTCTCTGTCCGTTTGTTTTGACCATCTCGGCCAACTCCAATTCTCGGTTCTCTGCTGGTTCCGCGGAAAGCAGCCGAATGGCCCACGCAGAACAAACAAAATAAATTTTTGTTTGGACGCGCGTTGCCGGATTATGTGCACTAATATCCCGAGTCTAAGTGCGCCGTAAAACTGCTCTCCTCTCCCTTTCTTCGTTCTCTCTCTTCTCCGAGGCAGATTTGAGTTGTTGGATTTTATGTTTTATTCAGAAGTAAAGCACCAGCGAAAATTTAATATCAAAAGATGGTGGCAGACAAAACTGCTCTCGAGTGAAAACTCGCCTTGAAATTTAAATGCATAATACCATCTGTCTGTTGAATGGAAAGTTGATTTGACCAAGATGTTTGCAAACATTGAGATTACCCTCTCTCAGAAAATTTTTCTTCAATTAATTTCTCACAAAAGTAATTTTATACACCCCATTAAAAAATTTCATTACTTTTTCAATCGAAATTTTATAATCTCTACTAGCAATCAATTTTTTTCTATTGTGGGAAGAAATTCCTGCTGATGGATATAATTTACTAATAAATTACAATTCAAACTTTCACATTAAAATAAATCTACAAAATATACCTCCTTTTGGTCGTTTAGTTAAATTTTTATTATAAGGAAAAAATTGGATTTTTAATATACAATTTTAACTTCATTCAAGGAGCATAAATTACCATCAATGTTTAATTTCTGTGAGCACTTAGCCGGATTTACAAGAATATAATAACGATAATAACAACTGTGCTCTGCTGCGCGTCAAAACAAGTAAATACCATGCCTCTTTTGTAAGTTTGTTCTCCAGCGTCTCGTCCCCAGGGACCACCTCGTTGACTACGTGCTGGCGCTCTCTCTCTCTCTCGAGATAATTATCTGAATAACAAACTCGCTACACAGAGTGGAAAATTAGTCGACCTGCTCATGTTATTGAGATATTTAGCACCGTTTTAACTAACCTTTATCTCTTTCGCGCGTAAAGCAATTTAACTGTCTGCACATGAAAATAAAAAACTCATGTGATAAAAGTAAACGAAAAGGAAAACTCACGTATGTATGTGAAACAAAAATAGTAAAAAGAAATGGAAAAAACGGATAATTTAAAAAGGGGGTGTTTTATCAGTTTTTTGACATGTCAACTAAAATTTTGAAATTCTGAACAGAATTTGATAATTTTTCAAGTTTAGATAATGAAACATATGTTTCTTGTTTTTTTTTTAATCACTTTTTAACGTCGTTATAAGTCATTTGAGATTTCTTAAAACGCCCAGACCATTTTTCAAGCAAAAATTCCACACATACACTTTTTATCACTTTTTCCTTAAAACCTTTTAATTTAAATTTTAAATAAATCTCATAAAAAGTAAGCTATTTTATTTTAAGTATGAGGCTGGGAGCAGATCAAATCAATCTTAATTAATTATAATTGCAAAGTGTCTTAATTGATCTTTAGGCAGTTACTGCCTCTAATCCTTGATATTAACATCTAAGATGTTGAGACGATTTTAAACGCTTTTAAATTTCCCATCAGATTTTATAATCAAGCATTTCAGAATGATCGGAAATCTCTGCTTTGATCGCCCAAGTGGAAAGTCAGGAAACAAAAATCGGCGTGACAGAAACCGCGGCGGCACGCCCAAAGCATCTCTGATATTGAAATCTTGTTTCAAGTTTCGTAAATGTTTAACGGAAGTTGTGGTGCGGAAACTTTGTTGAAATTTGCACTGCTCGCCCCTGGCCGCAAATTGCAGTTTAATCGCCGGTCGTTCGTCTTTGCGCACGAAAAGTTGGCGGAAAAGAAAAGCGGGCGGTCTTGCAACAGGATCTCGACGAGAGTGCGTGTTAGAACAATAGTGAGACATTATCGCGGCTCAACGACTCGGCGTCCGTCGCTTGCCGAGCCGAGAGGGCGAATTTATATCTGGGTGCATCTCCCTTGTCCCCCTCGCGCATCATGAGCTGTCGCCCGCAGCCTCACAACCACTCCACCGTGCTGCAGCTAAATTGCAGAAAACTTTTGCCGAAGGGCTCCTAATTTGATTGATTGGCGTCGCGGTTTTTGCTTTCGGAAGAAGGGTTGATCTCTTCGAAAGATTCGCCGAACGAAGAGTGGCTGTGAAGACAGATAGGCGACGCGCATCACTTCTCTGTCGAGCCGGTTGCCTGCCTACGAGATTCGGTGACGTTTTGGGAACAGAAAAACAGATGAGTGTATCTTTTAAAAAATTGCAAAATATTTTGTTTATGCCAAAATAAATTATAAGCTTACATCTTTATTTGCATGTTTAAAAAAAATCTATAGATATTGTTTGGGAAATTATTCAATGAGGAAATGAAAAGAAGTAACGTCTTTAGGGGGAAAGAACGCTTCCTAGAAAGAGCTCAAATCATAATTCGAATTCACTTTGAGGGACATAATGCTGAAGTGCCCAACGAACAGGAATCAACTCGGAAAAACGGTGAGCCATTTTCGCGTTTACGAGGGCTATTTTCATATGGCCCGGCGGGGGTAGTAAAAATCCCGCTGCATTTTTCATAGGCCCGGCGGAATGAGAGGTGCTTGCGGTTGCCGTTCGTTGCTTTTCCCACGCGCCTCGCACTTTCGCCATCTCTTTCTTTGCTTTAAGAGCTTACACTGAATAATTGACGATTGAAATGCACACTGCCAGCTTTTTCACGAGACGTTTCACCACCTAAAAAATAATGGCTACTTAACTGTCTGATACATTTTCCATTAAAATTGTGCTTAAATTTGTATCACATTTAATGCCTAAAGAGAATGGTGATATTTTTTTATTCGCACATCAGGAACAACAAAAAATCGGTAAAAAGTTTTATTTTACCAGCAAAAAATCCATAAAAAAATTGGCAAACTTTTTGTTTTCCATGTTTTATGTTTATGACCTCATAACACTTCACGTCATTCTATAGTTCAGAAAGGCGTTGCGCAACTTTGTGCACCACATGGAAAATCGCACACTTCTTTGAAGTTCCGATGATACCTCATCGCTGCTCCTTACAAAAAGAAGGCACAGAGGCAGTCCCACGTGCTTTCCCTCAGAACACAAAACAGAGCCACAAGGAGTGCATTACTGTTGCTCTTGGAGAAAAGTTGCACGGCGTTTCTTTCTTGTCTCTTAGCGATCGTGCTCTTTTTATCCTCTGTGCCGTGATATCAGGGGAAAAGCTTCCTTTCCAATGCATATTTATCGAGTTTCCAGCAGGACCGCAACAAAATTGCTTTTAGCTGCTACATTTCTTTCTTGTGGTATTTGCACACATTTACATAAAGAAAAAACTGAAAAAAACTAAGATTTTCATAATTAAAATTATAAATTCAATCTAAATTTTTTGAATTTTTAGTTTTTAAATGAAGATTTCAAGAATAAATATGAATTTCGTCAATAAAGTTTAATATATTCTGCGAAATAAAACATAAAAGCAACAGATGGTAAATCAAACATTTATAACATTGCAAATCGCAAGAAAATATTTTTTCAATCTCGACATAGTACCTGATTCCGCAATTGCAAAATAATACAGATGTGTTATTATTTAAATATAAAAATTCCACTTTTTTCAACTTTGCACCAAAAAGCACCTTTTAACAAGTCGCTCTTTAATAACAGAAGCTTCATTTCAATTTGTTAAGCAACACTTCCGTAATTGAGTTGAATGACAATGACTGTGCGCCTTGGCTGTTAGGAAGCTAAATCAATTAATTAACTCGAGCTAATATGACAACAATGTGAATGGAGGCGTGCGTGGAGTTAAGGGAGCCAACTTGGTGTTTCGAAATGGCACTGCGTCGTTCCCATTTCTGCGAATGAAAATGGAGCAGAGCCGGGATAATTATGCGGCTCGTGCGTATTGTTCCAAAAGCAACAATGGACGTGCAGGCGGTATGTTTGCATGGTGTGAATGCATTTCTTGTAAACGTTCTAGGCGATTTAAACCGTGGGATGGGAAATTGTTTTTCTGCTTCGTTCCGCTTTCTTTTATGTTGCAAAAAGCTACATGAATAAGTATTGTGAGAATCGAAACTTACCAGAGCGAAAGCTGAAAAGTGTGTCGCTCTTCATATTCTCATTCTATGAGAAAAAGAACAATGTGCACAGAATGAAAAAAAGCAAAACAAACAAAACTTCAACTTTGAGTCCGATTCTTCTTTAAGCGTGTTGCAAAATATTGTAATTTTTTAACAGTATGTTAAGTAAACATAAAAACCAAAATACTGGCCAAAAATTTTGAAAATATAGCTTTAAGAATCAGAGAAGTAAAAAAGTTAAATAAACGGATATAACTAAACTGTTATAAATTAATACATTGTATCATATCATAGATCTTTAATTTCCAAAAATTTAATTTAAAATGCACAATTTTAAATTTGCAAAATTATTTTTGCCACTCAACGCTCTTTAGGATAAAAATATCAAATCGGTTTTTGGGGTGGAAAATGAAAGGCTACAAAAAAAATGTTTTTATTCAAGAAAGAAATAATTTTTCAGAATAGAAACATTGTAGGTGATTTTAGGCTGTAACCTTAAGGTCTTTTATGTTATTGTAGGTAATCACCAATTTTTCACAACCCTTATTCAAAAGCTTATCAACTATTTAGAAAAAGAACAAAGCTCTTGGAAATAATTGCAGAACTTCTGTTTACAGTGTTGCTCATAAATTTTGCTTTTTGGCTGCTTCACGGGTGCCGCCGACGGGGAAACGCGGTCGGCGGAGTGGATAAATCTCATTTGAGCAACGCGGATGTCTTAATATTTCTCGCTCAGCGGCAATTTCACCTCGAGGAATGGCGCAGAGCATATCAATCAGCACTCTTTTGGGCTCCCAGCATCCCCAGCTGCTATTTTTCCCCGCGCACAGCAGCATTTGCTGTGTGCCGTTGAGCAACGGACACAAGAAACCAGACAAATACATACGTCATCTTCACAACCTGCAATCAATTTTTCTTCCTCGTCATCAATTACTCGCAAACGTGCTTTAAATTTTCAATCGAAGGCACAAAACTAAATTAATATCATTTCAATTCTTGTATTCGCTCAAAACTCTGCAAATAAAAAACGGTTACATTGGAAGATAATTGGGCAATCAGCTCCAAAAAAATCCTACCAATTTTGTTGAAAAATGTGATAGAAATTTTTTTTATAAATTTAATAGAACTCTCTGTAAAAGGGCAGAATTTATTTTTTTTGCGAGAAATTTTGATAAGGATTGATTGAAAATTCAAAATTAAAATGAGTTATTTACAAAAATTTAATCCTGAGTTGCATGAAGAAAATTAATTGAAAGAGCAAAAATCGTTAACAAGTACATTATCATGTTTAATTCTATTTTCAATACTTTTTATTTGTTTTATATTTTTGTTTGCGAAACTCGTGAGGACCAAAGCCACTTAAGTCGCCCTTCCCGGCTTATCCCCGGGCGCAAAGCTTATTTCCTAAAAAGTATTAATCAGAGACGGGCAAACGTGTGGGACGAGAGGCAGCCAGCATCCAGGAGGATATGAATCGCCTTTGCTCGTCGGATTTCTCTGTTTCGTCGGAAGCATCAGCGGCTTTGTGACGCGAATCACATAAGCACGCGGGGTGCCCGCATCTCCGTAGAGAGCAGAGTCGGTGTGTATGTTTACAAAGGAGCCGTCGTCGGTTTTTCTTTATGCAAAGAAAGTTATTTACACTAGGATGACCATTTGTTTATACGTGTCATGAGGGTGCACCCTCTGCACTCCGCCGGAGTGAGAATTTAACTTTGTTCCGCCGCAATTTCGCGATTAAACCGAGTGCTTTGTGGCGACGTATATATGTAAAGAAATAGCGCAACGAGCGGCGACCGAGGTGACTTTTTGTTTTGTCAACCACCCACGCAGAAAATTTGCCTCGGTCCACTCTCTCCTCTGCTATCTCTCCATACATATATTGAGTTTTTTCTGCAAACATTGGCCTGCTGGAATTTTATCGCACAGGAGCCGCCATCAGCTACCGCTGCAGGTTTTATCGCAGCACTCAAAATTAGATTCGATTGTCTGATTAATGCTTTGCTGATGTTCGCCTGTCAAAGTGACGATTCATTGACGCGCCTAATTGTGGCCAAAAGCAATTATAAATTATAAGCGCAAAAGTTTGCTTCTGAAATTTCACAACCGGACAAAGTAATATGTGAATAGATTTTTTTTTAATTTTTGCACAACCCTTCCTGCGGCATGGTTTCATATAAATGTAAACTAGCGCCCGCGATAAAAAAAAAAAATAATTTTTTTGGTCGCGTAATTTTGTTGCCTTTGGTCGTAAAATAATCAAATTTGACAGGCATTATATTTGTGTTGGAGGACACTTGCGTCACTCAATTAGAAATTCGATGGAGTGTACGGATAAAGCAATCAAACTTTTGATGTTGTATGCATGCAAATTTCAGACCAAATATTGCAGGTCGACCGCCGGCTTGTGTGTTTCGCAAATTGGCTGATCTACCATTGAATGCCGCGCGCGCTGTTCGAGAGGCTCTTTGATGCATTTGAAAGCACCACAAATATCCGAACGAAGCTCTTTTTGCTGTCAAGATGCATGAATGCACGCTTTGAAATCGAATCCAACGTCGACGATCAACTTTGCATCTATACCCCGATAAAAATAATTGCAATGCCTCGCTGACCATTTGGTTGAAACTGCAATGTAAATTAACGCGGCTATATTATGGTGCATTCATTTATAAAAAATTGGCGTTTAAATAAACTCTAAAGGCTGGTTTTCACATTTATGTGTCATAATTGTGCAAGTTACATTAAAAATTAGTAAAATTAGACCGAAGCAGATAATGAATGAAGTCAACTTGTTACAGGAGCGCGAGTCAGCCGAGTGGGAGCGCTCGATCTTCACTGCTGTCAGCCTAGGGAAAGCCTTGTAGAATAATTTGTTAAACTAACAGAAGGACGGCCGATGATGATAAGAGCGACGAGTGCATCAAGTGTGTGTGCACAACAGAGGAAGTGATTCAAAAAGTCTTCGCCTACATCTCCGGCGATGACGCAAGCGGAGAAAAATCGTCGCTGCCATCCGAGTGTGCGGCGATGGACGAGTCGGTGCGCGCGGCCCGCGTAGATGGAGATTAATACAAATCCTCGTAAATAGTGTTTCCTTGAGCTGCGACAGAGATAACAACGTGACAATTTTGTATCGATAGCGACCCGCTGCGAGAACACCTTGTTTGCCATCAGCGAGACGCAGAGAACTCGGAAACGAAGAGGCGCAGAACGGCGAGGATCAGCAGATTTATCAGCCGAACAAAGCAGCCTGATTGGAAATTGCTTCTTTTCCAAGTCGTTGGAGGAAAAATACAGGTGAGCTCAACGGGAAAGCGTCTAGTCCAGCATCATAAAAATCATCCCAAACAGAACCTTCTTTATACGGGGCCTTGCTAAATATCTTTCAATTAAATTAATACATTAAAAAAGATTATAGAATCTCCCCCTTCTTTATTTTTTGTGAAAAGTTACGGATTTTTATAGAATTCTTTGCTAAATATTCTTTCATGTCAACAGAATAAGTAAGATAGAAAAGAGGTAAATAGATTAAAAAGAAATATCAAATTGAGATAAAAATGTATAATTTCAGGTTTATAACTTATCTCATTACACTGCAAGTTCACATTCCAATTATCGAATTCACATATCAATATAATTATATTTAAAGATTTTGAAATAATACTTTTGAAGATTTCAATCAGCCAAAGGCCCATTTACTTGAGATATCGCCGAAGAAGTACCACATAATCAAAGATCAGTCGCGACCGCTTTTACGAGCGGCGCACCGTAAAAATATTAATAAACAGCTCGCCGTCTTGTGCGTGCTCTGAACGCGTCGTAAAAATTACTTTTTACTGCGCGAAAAAATAATTTAGTGTATGTGCGAGTGTCGTGAGTGTGGCTGATCAATAATAAATAACAATTTGCGCGAGCGAAAGATTTATGTTTGGTGCGCGCCCCGAGGAGTACTTGCCGTTGAATAAGTTAGTGGCTCGCCGCGCGCGCCACTGCCTAATAGATATAAATTTCGCACCAACACACGCCGTAAATCATTCTTGCGTTGAGTTTTGCACCACGATGTGATGCGACAAGATCCTTTTGTGGCACAAACGAGCAATTTCTATCACGCGACTGCCACTTGTTGTCGTTAGCCTTTCTTCGAGATGATGATTCAGCAACATAAATACTGGGAATGGAATACCAAGAATATGTGTTACCAACACTTTTTGTTTATTTTGAGTCACTCTGGCCAGATCAAATTTCTTCCACGTTTTCCTTAAAAAACTTAAATTTTAGCGCCTATTTTGATGAATAAGAAACTAATCAAATTTATTTAATAAAAATTGTAATATTATTTACACTTAATTTATTCAAGATTTTTATGGTTAATATATTATAATCTAATGTTTCAGATGACTTTGGCAGAAAAAAGTATACGCCATGAAACACCACCTTCAAGGCAAGTTTAATATTCAGAATTTTTAATTAAAAAAAAAACACATTACGTGGAATTTCTCCGTTGCTTGGATCTAGTTTGCGAGTTATGCAGCCTGTTTGACAGCTGAGCCTTGCGGAATGCATAACTCATAAACACTTCAAACAGAAGATGCGGAGTCATGTTTTCTGGAGCTGGTCCAGTACTTTACATAATTATTATTCCAACCGACTCCAGACATAAGATTAAAAACATAATAAAATGGTTTTAAAGTTGTTGAAATATTAAATATAACAAAATGAACTTAAATTATTCTCGACTGTAAGGCAGAAAACTAGGAAATTTTTAAAAGGATATTATTTAATATTTTTTCTAGATTTGTTTCCGGATATTGGCTTGAAAGAGTGTCACTTGAAGTTTGGCATTCCAGCTCAATTATCTTAAAAATCGGCTCAACAAGAAAAAGATATGTTGAAGAAGCTCATTTCAAAGTAAACCCTCATAATTACAAAATTCTAATTAAATTAACTAACCATGAGAAATTAGAGAATACTTTGGCCATACGACCACTTCCAAGGACCAATCCAAGTGCCTGCGACGGAACAGAAAAGCAAAAGGTTCAAGGCAAGCATGGCTCTGCAATGTACATACGACCCTTTGGTTGTCAGGCTGATACCAAATGACATCAGTCGATTGGCGGTGCAACTCAAAGAAGAAGAGTATGATGAAGAAACAGATGCATGAGAAATAAAAGAAAGTATAATATAGTAACTGGCAACAATTTTTTCAAACCACTTTTATTCTACTGCCCATTTATCACTGGAATTCTTTGAAAGCCAAAACAGAAGGTATTGGAAAGAGGCTTGAGAAATTAAAATTCGAAACTACCACGGATAATCTTGCTCACTCTCTCTTGCTTGTGAATTATCTTCTAAGGTTGTACTCTAAACCAACAGGGACTGCATTTTACATCGCCATGTCTGTAAACAAATAAGTTTTTTTTTCAATTATTCAATTAATTTTTTAAAACAAAAATAATTAATTAATATTTTCTCGGCATTAAAATTAACTACAGAAATTGGACTTACGGTTAGCAGACTTGCACTGCCTAAGGGCCTCATTGAACCCGTCACAGAGAGTGAGGTCGCTTTGGTTCTGGGCGCATTGCAAGAATTGGCTAACTTCCCAAGCACAGGGGCCCTGGGGTTGCTGTGGGCCTTGGCCTTGCACGGGGGCAGCAGCAGCAGGTGCAGCAGCTGCAGGTTGGTCCGAGCTTCCACCGCTGAACATTCCTGTGAGAGCATGTCCCATGGTGTGGCCCTGAAGGAGAAAATAAAGATTTCATTCAATATAATAATAAATAATAGATTACATAACATAAAAATAAAGTAATGCGCGTCAAAATTTTCTTCTTAAAATGGACGAATTCAACTAATTAGGGCAAAAAAGGAACAAATAAAATACATAAATAGAGCGCAGTTGTTTGATTGCATGTAAATCTAGCTCATCTTCAATGAGAGCGCAATAAATTGACAGTTGTAGGACACATGGATTGTTACGTAACTCTCCGATTGATCATGTTTATGGGAAAACTTTGAAGAATATGCATTTTATACTAACCACGGCCGATCCGATGGCCACACCGCCAGCAGTGGCAGCCATCTGTCCCATCAGCGAAGGCCCCTGCTGGGGGGCTGCCATCATAGGTGCAGGAGGGTGGGCCTGAGGGACCGGAGCTGGAACGCGGGCTGGTGGTGGTGCAGCCCTGGGCGCAGCCCTGTAAGTAGACATTTTGAGAATTAGGCCATCAAGCAAGTGGAACCAACGAAATTTTGCAAAATTCTGAAAGTCGAGTAAAGATAGAGTGTGGTCTCAAAATCGACTGTGTCATCAGACAAAAACTCACCTGGGTGGAGGACTTGCTGACCTTCCGCGTCTCGGCATTGTGTCTTTTCTGGTGCTGTTCTGAGAGGTGACTGTTGATCTGCGTCTATAGTTGGTCAAATTTGAATTAGAATCGAGTTCAAGCAACGAAATTCGCTATTACCGATCGAGACTTTTCCACACGTGACGTAAAATCTGCTGCAAGAATGTCTTCCAATCTGCGCAAGCTCATGCAAGTTAGTGCTCTGCTCGACAGATGACGCCGTTGGTCTCGTTTGTTATTTATAGAAACAAAAAAACATGGAGAGTTGAAGTTAGGAGCGAGGAGCGGTTCCAGTGATTCATTGGCAGCTTTTCCTGAATGGCACAAGCGTTAATCAGCTTGCAAAATAGCCCATTCGCGATATGTAAGAAACGCTGTAAAATATTCCAACACTTTTCCTTTAATTTGTTTTTCTGAATCCTGTGAAATATCAAAAGAAAGTTCTCCACCTTGCTCCTGTTTCCCTCCTCGCACGCCCATTTTTTATTTTGTTACATATGAATTCCATTTTTACTTAAATTTTATGCTTTTCAGACAATAAGATGCGGAGAGACTGGAACTTCTAATGCCTGAGGCCCGCCTGGCAAAGATGCCGTTTCGCAAAGGAGCCAAGAAGTTCCCGGTCAAGCTGACCACCTTGACGGACGAGCTCGACTTTGAGCAGGACTGGAAGGCAACCGGACGCAGCCTTCTGGAGTTGGTTTGCCAATTGATCGGCCTGCGCGAGACCTGGTACTTTGGCCTCCAGTTCGAGCATCCCAATGGCTTCAACTCGTGGCTGCAAATGGACAAGAAGGTGCGTGACCAGGTCGGCTCTGATAATACGTCACCGGTCAGGGTCATGCTGCTTGCCAAACTTTACCCAGAGAATGTAGCCGAGGAACTGCTGCAGGAGATCACACAGCACCTTTTTTTTCTTCAAGTGAAACAGGCCATTCTCAGCATGGACATCTATTGCCCACCAGAAACCTCGGTTTTGTTAGCCTCGTATGCTGTCCAGGTAAATATTTATAAAAAGTTTTCCAGTTTTTTTTTTTTTTTTTGTTAAAGATTTTGTTAAAATTAATCTAAATTGAATGGAACCAATCCAAATATATTATTTAAATTAAATTTCTAGGCTCAATATGGTGACTATGATGAAAACACGTACCAGCCTCGCATGCTGACCAGTGCCGAGTTATTACCACAACGAGTGATCAGTCAGTATCAGATGACCCCTGAAATGTGGGAGGAACGAATAAAAATTTGGTATGCTGACCATCGTGGCATGGCGCGCGACGAAGCCGAAATGGAGTACCTGAAAATTGCGCAGGATCTCGATATGTATGGAGTCAGCTACTTTAGCATCTCCAATAAGAAAAACACAGACCTCTGGCTCGGTGTGACCGCCCTTGGGCTCAACATCTACGAGAAAGACAACAAGTTGATCCCCAAGACGTCGTTTGCATGGTCTGAGATCAGAAACGTCAGTTACGATGACAAAAAGTTCTCTATCAAACCAGTGGACAAGAGTGCGGCAAATTTTGTGTTCCTTTCGAAAAAAGTCAGAATGAACAAGTTGATCTTGGACTTGTGCATCGGCAACCATGACATGTTTATGAGAAGACGCAAACCAGACACTGTAGACGTCCAGCAAATGAAGACGCAGGCCAAGGAGGAGAAGCTTCGTAGACAAGTAAAAATGTTTTTTTTATTTCTCAGAATAATTAATAACTCGAATTTCTCAGAATTGAAAGAGAAAAAATCATTTGGAAATGCTATAAGTGCAATACTTTTATGTTTCAGATTGAAAGAAATAAATTGTCGAAAGAAAAGCAGCTACGAGAGGCAGCAGAGCGTGATAGGAGTGCTCTTGAAGAACGCCTTCTACAGTATCAAGAGGAGATTCGTTTAGCAAATGAAGCACTTCGACGGTCAGAAGAGACAGCCGAGTTGCTGGCTGAGAAGTCAAGAGTTGCAGAAGAAGAGGCAATGCTTTTGCAGCAGAAAGCGTCTGAGGCCGAACAAGAAGTAAATCGGATGCGTCTGAATGCCATGAAGACTGAAGAGGAGAAGAACCTTCTGGAAAGGAAAACGAGAGATGCTGAAATTCTAACTGCTCGGTTGGTAGAGGAAAGTGAACGCAGGGCCATGGAGGCTGACAAGCTCAAGGATGAGTTGACGAGGGCTCGCAAGGCAGAGAAACAGGCCAAAGAGCGCCTGCAGACGTTCCTCACCAGGAACACCCTGGTGCCAACATTGTATTCGGAGCCGTCGGCACAGACAACCAAATTGGCGCAGGATCTGAGTGCCTTGGCAATGACGTCGCCTGTGTCTCCAATCGGTAATACAGGAGTGACGTCAAGTTCGTCTAGCTTCGAGTTGGTGTGTCCGGACTCTGACGTAGAGCAGCTGTCCCTGGAGATTGAGAAGGAGCGGGTAGAGTACCTGGAGAAGAGCAAACACCTTCAAGAAGCACTCAGGTCGCTCAGAACGGAAATCGAGGTGCTGAAGGTGGGAGAGAAAAATTGCTCGTTGGATGCGCTACATGCTGAGCAAATTCGGCTCGGTGAGGACAAATACTCTACGTTGAGGAAGGTGAAGTCGGGATCCACCAAAGCCAGGGTGGCCTTTTATGAGGATTTGTGAATGCTGACAAGCCAAAGATTGCCATATTATATTTTGTTTGTGAACATTTTCATGTTATATAAGATCATGTGCCTTTACAATCTCAAAAGCAGCTTTCAACAGTATTTTATTTTTTATTATTACATTACATTTTTTTCTTTGTAAAAAGTGCAATTTCTAGTATGTAATTAATAAGTGACCTTCTGTGAAATATTCAAGCCGCCCTAATTGTATCATGCAGCATTTTTAACTGTGAAATTGAATTATTTATTAATAATTACACAAGCATAAAAAATTGTTTTATTTTATTTTTACTTTAAAACGATATTTAAATTGTTTATTTCTTTTTACCACTTTTTACTATAATAAAAATTACAAGTCTGGTATATAATTCCAATTTCAAAAAACAAGCAAAAAATCAGCATTTTCAACCAGGATTGAAAATTAATTATTGCACTTGCTAAAGCCCTCTGTTGAATTAAATAAGAACTACAAAAGGGGGCGTGAAACAGGCTGATTTTCTATTTTCTTCGCCTCTCTGATGATGAAAGTGTGATGAAAGGAATCCACGTGTGACAGTTGTTTTGTCGTGATATCAAGTAAGATTTAGCCAAAATTTGCAAATTTAAGACATCATCTCAAAATAATTTCTTATATTATTAAGATTAAATGTAGTTGGGACAATCCTTAATATTATATTGGACCCTATTGTATTACATTTTACATGCAGATCAGCAATCAAACGCTTTTTTTAAGAACTTTTATTTTCTTGCATTTTCTTCTCTCTTGATCCTTGTTTTAATATTCTGTATTATCTGTTTCAAGAAATGAGTGTTACGCTCCCGGAAAAGATCCTTCAGTACCTTGATTCCAAGGGAAAAGGAGATTCACTCCTGCTGGCTGATGAATGGAAAGAGGACAGTCAAAAAATTGTTGGAGCAATCAAAAGTCTTGAAGCTTTAGGAAACGTAAATATCATCAAGAAATATATTTTACAAATGTATATAACTTAAATTTGTCGCGTCTTCAGGTCATAGCCGTAGAGCAGTACACAAGAAAACAATGGGAGCTGACAGCAGAAGGCAAATTGGTTGCCGAAAAAGGTAGTCATGAGGCCGTAGTTTATAATGCAGTTCCAGACAAAGGGATTCCTCAGCCTGAGCTTATGGTATGCTAAAAAATAATTACCTTACCAGAATATTTTAATTGAATATCTGAATTAATTTTTGAAGAAAGCACCGAACGCAAAAGTTGGATTCAGCAAAGCCATGTCTGCTGGCTGGATTGTGATGGACAAGTCTTCCGGACAGCCCATTATTAAAAAGAAGGTGGCCAGCATTGATGACGTTGTGCAAATCAATTTGTCTCAACTTCAAAAAGGAGTTGACAAGATTAGTGATGAACAGAAACAAGAGTACAAGAAACGGAAGCTTCTCCAAGAAGTTGTGGTCAAAGGTTTTCATCTTAGCAAGGGGCCAGAGTTCAACCTGTCCATTAGTAAACCTGAAACTGACCTTACTCCTGAGATGATTGCGCAGGGCACGTGGAAATCAAAACAATTCAAGGAGTACAATCTAGGCGCCCTTGGAGTTCCACCTCCTTGTGGACATTTGCACCCCCTGCTTAAAGTTCGGGCCGAGTTCAGACAAATCTTCCTTGAAATGGGGTATATTAAAATTAACTATTTTATATTTTATTGTTATCGTTTTAATGTCTGAATTATTTACTAATAGATTCACCGAGATGCCTACTAATAATTATGTCGAGAGCTCTTTCTGGAACTTTGATGCCCTCTTTCAACCCCAGCAACATCCAGCCAGAGACGCTCATGATACATTTTTCTTGTCAGGTAGATTTGCTAACTTGAAACAAACAATTTTAAAAATAAAAAATAAATGTACAGACCCTAAGGAGTCTTCAAACTTCCCAATGGATTACCTAGAAAAGGTTAAGACCGTCCATAGCAAGGGGGGCCATGGTTCACAGGGCTATGGTTATGACTGGAAAATTGGTGAAGCTCAGAAAAACCTGCTGAGAACCCACAGCACAGCGGTCAGCGCTCGGATGCTTCACAAGTTGGCAAAGGAGGGCTTCAGACCGGTGAAGTACTTCAGCATCGACAGGGTGTTCCGAAATGAAACCTTGGACGCAACCCACCTTGCAGAATTCCACCAAGTAGAAGGCGTGATTGCTGACTATGATTTGGGGTTGAGTGGACTGATTGGTAATAATTCTTCCTATTTGAAAATAAAGAGTTTTCTAAATTACCTTTCCAGGCGTACTTTACGAGTTCTTTAAGAAACTGGGCATTGAGAAGCTTTACTTCAAGCCAGCATACAATCCTTACACAGAGCCAAGCATGGAAATCTTCAGCTATCATGAAGGTTTGAAAAAATGGATCGAGATTGGAAACTCGGGAATGTTCAGACCAGAAATGTTGTTGCCGATGGGCTTGCCTGAAAATGTGAATATTTACGGCTGGGGATTGTCTCTCGAAAGGTAATTTTCAAAATTAAAATTGAACTGGTGAGCATATATAATATAACAAAATTATAATCAATCAGGCCAACTATGATCAAGTATGGTATCAACAATATCCGTGACCTGGTGGGACCCAAAGTCGATCTGCAGATGGTTCACGACAGCCCCATTTGTCGTCTAGACAAGTAATCTTATTTATTAGCAGTTTATTTATAGTATAATTTTTATCTAAGTTCTTGTGCATGTTTTGTACTTTTGAACGAGCATGCTTTGCGAAGTTGTTTCAGTTTTGGAATAAATTTTGTGCAATGCAGTTGTTATCTTTTGTTGTTGTTTTGTCAACCCGCTCGATCGCTAGCAAAGTGGTGACACAGGCTTTATTTTTCCGGTGCAGAGATGATGACCAAGCTGAAGAACAGCAGCCATTGTCCGCGGTCAATGCCCTGGAGAAGGAGTGGGACAACATCACAAAACGGATCGAAAAGCTGCAGGCTACCGTGAAGAGTTTGCAATCAAAATTAGGCGTCCCACAGCAAACATCTGCTGACTGTGGCAAGTTTGATGTAACCATTTTTGCAGACCCAATGCATCCACCTCATTCAATCATCACCCTGATCAACATGCTGGACGAGAAGATTGGAGTGAGAAAGTCTTCACACTGTCACTCTTCGCTGAAGCTGCGACCTGACCATCTGAAAACAATTTTTGACCACCAAAGTTCTGACAAACCACCAAATAACAGCGTAACAGTGATCTGGAAATCTGTCGGAACAAATTTGGAGATGGTTGTGTCGCCTGTGGCAAATGTCAAGGTTACAGGCGAGGTCAATGTCCTACGCTACTTGTCCCGAGTTCTCGAGGCCAAGAGCCCTGACTTCAATTGGTACGAACGACTTCCTGCTGAGCAATCGTCACAAATTGACTACTGGCTTGACAAGGCTCACAATGCTATGCTCAAATCTGACACCCAGTCACTTCTGAAGACACTGGATCAGCAATTAATCAACAGAAAATTCATCATAGGCAATGATTTGTCTCCTGCAGATATTTTTGTTGTTTCAGTCTTGTCAAATCTAAATCTTAAATTGCCCAGGAATGTTGATAAATGGTACAAGCAATGTACACAACTTAGGCTGAGCATTCTTGGCAAAAAATAACGCTGCATATCAGGTCAATAAAATCCTAATGAATCTTGATATTGTAATTTGGGCTTGCATTATTTTTATTTATCCTAGTTATAACAAAACAATAATCAATATTTAATAATTTAATACTTTTGGAATTGCAAAAGAAACTATTTATCTTTCGAGCTATCTGGAACAGGAGAATTTCCAGTAGCGCATGTCACACTTTGAATATTCCAGCCCTGCGTGGAAAAGCCTTGGTACTGCTGGTTACTAGCGGGCATCTCAGGGGTCAGGGGGGAAGGTAAGGGCAGCGGCTGACCACTGGTGGGTGACAAATTCATTGCATCCAGCAATGATCCAGGCCTAGAGGAATAAGTCGGCAATCGATATTATTGTTGCTATTAAAGGAAGTTACTTCAAGTTACCCATGCTGTTCTTCGACATCTGTGTTTTCTGGACTAGATTCTTGAAGTGTAATATCGTAATTGAGGCCTCGGACCAATTCTAGGCTTTGCTGAGCAGCCAGAATATCTGGTGGCGGGGATAAAGGAGATGGAGGAGAAATTGAGACAGGAGCTGCTGGGGCCTCAAGTGGGGACAACAACTCAAGTGATCTTTTTGGAGAGGGTGCTGGGTGTGAGGCAAGCACCTGAGAAATAAAAATATGTTTAAACTTCAAATGCTTGATGAGAGGGAATTAACTCACCAAAGGTGCAATAGGAGGTGGTAACGTTTCAGCATGAGGGTTTTCACTATCTATGTTTGTTGGTTCTCGCAGTGATTTTAAAACCAGAGGAGACGAGTCAATTATTTGGTCCAATTTTTTACAAATTTCTTCCTGCATTTGAAAAATTTACATAAATTACCTTTTTGAAAGCGATCAATTTAAATTTACAGTACCTGGAATGCTAAAATTTCCTCGTGGAGTAATTTGGATCCTGAGAGTGTGTTTTGATTCTTCTGATCCAACTCTTTTAAAGTTGAAAGCTGCTCATTTATCACATGCATTCCCTTAAATTATTGTTTAGTTATAAAGCCTGGTAAAGAATTAAAATAATTCACCTCACACATGAGAAGGGCACTGTCCCAAGAGCTGATTGGCACCACTTTGCCGGACATGTACTGGTCAAACTCGTCAAATGGCATGTTTAATGACTCAGCAGTAAGATTTTCAACAAAGGAAACGGCACAGCACTGCAATTTATATAGCTGAGCAGTAAAATCTGCCAATTTTTTTAAGTTGGATTACCATACCAAATTAGTAAAATAGTATCCAGCTTCGCCGGACATTAGTCTGCTTCCATTGCAGAAGCGTGTTATGTAATTTATGTTGCTCTTCAGTCGAGGCGGATTTGCCTTGAGGACAACAAAAATTAGGGCTGGGAGAAATTCGTCAGCCGACGCAGGACCTCCCTGCGCCACTTGAAGCAGCTTGAAGATAGCACCGCAACACTTAACCACACAGCTCAACTTCTCGGGTGGTGATTTGGCAGAATCCATGCTGAGGATTTCAGTGATGGCCGTGTACACCAACTCACGCACTTCAGGATCTGTTTCAGTTATCCTGCAGTCCAAATGCTTGGCATTCACCCAGTTCAACTGCCGAATTCTACCAAAAATAAAATTGTAATGAAAACCATCTTGCAAAATAATTTTATGCTTCTTTTCAAAAGAAAAATATTAGAAGAGACAGCAAACCTGTTCTGAATTGCAAGGTCCTTCTCCTCATCAGTGGTGCTTGGAGGACAGAAGAGACTGGTGTAAAGACATGTCATGATGTATTTTTCACCGTAAATTAGAATTTGATCCTTATCTTCTGCACTAAGCCCTGTTGGACAAGAAATATTTACTCGGAGCATATCCCATACTAACAAATATTTACTCGAGTAAATTTTGAATGCATCCATCTTATTGACGAGAAGTTGATAGACCTGCTGGATCTGTTCTGCCAGGTCGTCTGCTGACCTCAGGTCAGCAACCGCAGCAACCTTTTCTACGTGCGACCTGCAGGTTGCTACTATGTCATATTCAATTTGGGAACCAATGCCCTTGAGGAAAAAAGCGTGCTCTTGTCTCAAGATTTCCAACTCAGCTGCAGCCAGGGTGATGCATGACGCTGGCTCTAAAAATTTAAATAAATCAAAATAATCCATTTATTTTGCTCATGTTGATTGGCTAAATAAAATTGAAATAAATACCCGTGTGATCGACTTCATGACATGACAGTGAGAGATATTATGAAATAATTATGTGAGGATTAAATTTAAAAAAATGTATATATACCTTTAGGACTGGGTGATTTCTTGAAGACACTGATCCCCTTTGGTTTCTTGTCAGTTTGCTGTCTCCTCTTTTCTTCAAAGCGCGAGAACCCACTGGTAGGAAAAGAACCCTGGTTCCTGCCCAAAAAGAAGACCAACATTTATTTTATTCTTCTGGTATGGAAGGGCTATTGGATGTGACTAATAGCCTCAATAAAAAACGTACCTGCTCTCGTGGAATGAATGACTGCTGGATGAGTCACTGTGGCGGATGCGCGACTCGCTCTTGGCCGCCCTATTTGTAAAGATTTTCCTACATTTCGAGCAATAGCCTTCCCATTGAGCGTTTCCGTAGAATTCACATTCACCGTTCTTGCACTTGAGGTCGGCCTCAGCCACCCTCGGCGACGGCCCTTTAGTTGCGTGCATCTCTGTCCGAAGTCTGTTCGTCGGATACACCAAAAAAGTTCAAGAATAATAATGCTTTTATTAAACGCGTTTGCGTACAACTACTAATACATACATGCTATACATACTAAATAGAACTAGGCGCACCACCTATCGGTGGACAGTCATTACAATCAGTTTGAGCGTATTTCAGCGGGAATATTGATGATCAGCCATTTGAGCAAGGGAGGAAAAAGGCGATCGAGTACAAAATAAACAGTGGTGTTGACTACAATATTGTGAACAAAATTTACATTTACATGCTTTGCTTGCAAAGTGATATTCCTTTTTAACACAAAATTTATAATGAAATCCATGAACTATTATTCTAGTATAAACATGCCTGTCCTGTTGAAGAGGACTTCTCCATTTAATCGGGAGTGTAACAATTGCATTGTGAAAATCAGGAGGAATATCAAACGATTTCATTTCTCTCTCGAATAACAAAGTACCAAAAGCAGGTGTGTATGGAAGATTATACATAGATTGCAAACAACCAATAAATGAATCAACCTCCAACATTAAATGCACAATTCTATTCTGAGCTGATTTATGTACACACAAGAGGCGTTTCAAATATGCATTAAAAACAAGATTTAAATTTCTGAGATCTGTTTGAGTGAGATAAGGCCAAGCAATTGTAATGCCATAACTGGCAATAGGCGCCACCTTTATAAAAAAGAGACGGATTGCTGCATCTACACTCAACATACGAAGTTGTTTTATATCAAATGTAGCCAAATTTGCTAATAATGTTCGAGATTCTACATGTTTGTTAAATGATTTCGCCGTGTGATTCAAAGTCACTCCAAGATATTTAACTACATTCTCAAATTTAATTTCGGAGCCTTTACAAAATAGTTTATCTGTGTTTTTAATTCGACCTCCTTTCCGAAACTTGACGGCAACAGTCTTCTGGGCATTGACAACAAGGTCATTGCTATCTGAGTACTCAACAAGGAGATTCAGTCCAGACTGAAGCATATCAAGTCGTTTTGCAAGAAGGGCAGTATCATCGGCATAATTGAAAATGACAACTTCATCTTTTAAATTTTGTTCGATATAAAGATTTAAATCAAATACATAAAAAATATAATAGAGTGGTGAGGATGTGCCACCTTGTAAGGTACCATTACTCTGAACAAATTTTTGTGAATTTGCAACTCCATCAAAAATTGACAAAAAATTTATGTCCAAAATAGTTGCTATAATATTGAGCAGTTGTTTTGGCAGTATTTGAAGAGATATCAGCTTATCAAAAAGTTTCTGCCGATTTACCGAGTCGAAGGCTTTCGAGTAATCGACAAAGGCAGCATACACTGGATTATTATTGAAATAAACTTCCTCGATCAAATGATTATGTAGTTTTTGGACAGCTGGGATTGCTCCACGTCCTGGCATATAGCCATACTGTTCAGCCGGAATAATGGGCTGAATTTCAGAGAACACACGACGAATTACAACTTTGTCATATAATTTGTACAAAACATTACTTAATGCAATACCTCTATAATTGTTTGGATCAGATTTTTCACCTTTTCCTTTATATAAAATATTCAGATTTGACAACTTCCACTGCTCAGGTATTTTGTTTAATTCTGCACATTTATTGAACATTTTTGTAAGCAGAGGCACAAATTCATATTTCGCAATGAGTTTTAAATGTTCATTTAACATTTTATCTGGGCCGGGGGCCTTACCACTCTTTAAATTTTTAATGGCTAGCAAAATTTCCTCATCCATGAATGGTATGAAAGGCGAATCAACATTGTAATCTTCAAGTAGGCTTGACAAGTTAAGTGAATCTGTTGCTCGCAAGTTCTGCACATTTAGAATGTTTGAGAAATGCTGCACCCAAGTAGACATTGGTACAGCGGATGTAATTCGTTTTTGTTGCGAGTTTCTCAAAACCAAATAGGGCGTTTTCTCAGCTTCAAGTATTAATTTTTCCTCCTGTTTTCTATTAAATAACTCTCTTGAATCTTTACACATAGCTCGATAATCAGACTTTGCCACTGATATAATTTCGAGAGCTTCCTCTTTTTCAAATTGCACAGTTCCTGCTGGATCAGGGTCAGTATTATTCTCAGAGCTATTTACTTGTAAAGTGTTAAGATGATATTTCCAAGACCGTATATATTGATGCTGCAACCGACAATCATTAGTATACCATGGTTTCGAAACCCTCTGTGATACACCTGGGGTTGCAGCAGAGGAATGTATTAATTGTAATATTTCTTCATATGCCGCATCAATTTCATTATTTTCAAGTTGATTCATTAATGAGTTATATGCGGTCCGAAAATTCAAAACAAATAAGGCCTCATCAACTTTATACACAGGCTTTTGCCTTTCATTTGCAGGATTTTGAGAGCTATTATTAATTTTTAATTTAAATTTGGCTTTAACAGGGATGTGTTTACAATTTTCAATACATTCTAGTGCAGAACAGCTCACTAATTCCATATAAAATGGATCATAAAATATTAAGTCTATAGTAGAACAGCCAATTCCACTAATAAATGTATAATCACAGCAGTCATTTGCTAACTTTAAATCAAGTGCTGAGAGTAGTTCAAGTAATATTATAGACTTTTTACTGCTATTATTTGCTGTTTGTTTACCTGCAGGGTCAATACGTGCATTAAAATCGCCTATTACAATAAGATTTTTATCCAGATCAACATATTGCAATGCGTCGAGCAGTGAGGTTTGAAAAACGTTTTTGTCGAGTTGAGGAGGGCAGTAAAAACAAGCAATTGTGAGTTGATCTAAAAATACTAGTAAACACTCATCAGTGAGTTCCAATTTTTGAAATGTGCCTACGGATGGTTTTACATAACAACTAATACCTCTCCTGATTTTTCCTCCTAGTTCAATTCCATATTTGTGATAACTATAATAGCCTGGAATGTCTACTACATCTCCGTCTTTTAAGAAGGTTTCACAAGAAGCAGCAAAGTTGAGAATTGAATGTTATTGAATGAAAAGGAGAAGAGGGGCGCGGCTAGGGGATTTAGAAAGGAAGAATTTTGTAATATACGTTACTATGACTATATTTTTTTACTTGAGCTGCTTAATGTAAATACAGAAAGAAATAACTTCAAAAATTATAGGTAGTTGTATTAAAACATAGTATTTAGATTGCAAAATATCTCTAAAATGCAAACTTTGCCTGAATAAACTTTTCTCTTGTCTATACTACCCGTTTAAAATAGCAAACATATGGCACCGCGCCCCTCCCTCAGGCACCCCTCTCATGCGTGCTACGGATTAATTCGGTGTTTTGGAGCGAGGGTACACGTCAGTTGTCAAAAAGCAGGTGAGTGTCTTGTGCAAATAAATTGACATATTTGCGAACAAACACGCCGATTGATAAGGGGTGCCGTTTTTTGGACCGAAATCCAGAATTTGTCGCTCGAGAGGCGCAATTCCGAGTGGATCATTTCATGTGAAGCGGAAAAAAGGTGGGTTAGGAGGCGATCGTCGTCCCTCTATTCTCGCATTTTGCATTATTTTATTCTGGCTGCCCGCGTTGGGAAAGGTGGCGCGTGCGATTATTTAGTGCCCCTAGCGAAAATAAAACAGAGCTGCCGAGTCGTCTGCGGTTTCGCTTGTTGTTCCGTCGCAAAAGTGAGTTGCTTTCTGCGAATTTGCTATTTTGCTCTGATTTCCGTCCTCTCTGTTGTGTTCAGTTTTTATACTTAAAAAGTAATATTACAATTGTTGAATGCACTTGTTATGGTATGTATGATTATCTAAAATCTAGCTATTTAACGCTAAATATTTATTTTTGAAAGAGTCGATTTTATTTCTTTGCTCTGAATAATAATTTACTGCGCCGTTGAAGACAAAAATATGTTCAAAACTTTTCCATTATGTAATTTAAAACGATTACAGCTCATTTTCTTCTGTGTTGCCCGTTTTTGTCAATGAACTAACTGGAAGACTTCTACATTATTTATTATTATTATTAAAATTAAATGTGATTAGTCATGCCGTCCAATGTCATAACGCTGCATAATTTTTTTTTTAATTTATAGGTCACGAAAATGAATGTAACATTTTTGAATTTTGTTTCTTTCTCCTTGCAAAATTGAAATGAACTCATTTAAAAATCTCCCTATTAAGTCTGCTATACTTTTGCATTTTAATTTTATATCGATTTAATAATATGGGAATGTAGGCCTTAAATGAGCAACGAGACCTTTAAATATTGAACTACATATGAACTTAATTGAGGAGCAAAAAATCTCATTATAATAATTATATAGTATTTGTGTCTCTCTACGTGCAGAAAAGCAGAAATTTGATCCAGCTCGCCTGTTGCAACAGCTATTAAAACGAAGCATAGCCCTTTAATATTGTTTTTACTCCGCGTGCAGAGCAGCGCATTATACATTGTGATTGTGAGTGAAACGGCAAGGTTGCTGGGCTGGCTTGCTCGTTGGCGGCCCGAGGGCGATTACATCAGAAGGGCAGTGCTGATTTGCGAATGCAGTTGTAAAAAAAGAAATCTCCAGGTTCGACTCGGTGTAAATAGGAACGCGTACATCAGTTGTAGTTCACTGCTCGCAGGCTGCACTCGTGAACTGTTGACCCAAGTTCCTTCCGCTTTTACTCAACTGAAAAAAAAATCGGCTCTTATCAGGGCCACTAGCCATTTGATTTCCGCCGCGGTTGATGTGTCAGTTTGTCCTCAGAAAGAAAAAAATAGCTGCGGCCAAACTAGTTCAGCGCCTCGTTTTTTTTTTTTTTTTTTTTTTTAATATTAGTATAAATTTAGTAAGTAGCATTAAACAAGAAATATTTCAATGTTAATCTTTATATCAAATTCATTTCCACTGGAAATTGTCAAAAATTATAACCCAAGTATCTCCCACATATCCAGATCGTTCTTTTTCCAACAAATTAATATTTCCTTGATATTTGCAAACATGAAATGAACTGAAAAGTTTAATTCATGAAACTTTTGTATTTTGTAACACACTCTATTATTTTTATCACGCTGAAGCTGTTCTTATGTTAATTAAAATATTCTCACCACTATCAACTTTATTCCGGAAATATAGATTTTATTTTTTGCTCGTACGTCAGTCAGAACCGAGTTTGAGCTGATTTTTTTTCCACCCTGTCTGTCCTCTAGGAGTGTGTGTAAGCCCTGAGGCTTGGCCCAATGTCCACGTGGTCCGACGGATCTGCGAGACTGGCCTTGTTCCCGCCGGCGCCGCCGTCGAGCAGCTTTTCGTGTGGCGTCGATCCGCAGTCTTCGGTGTCCGACTTCTATTGGAACAACCGGAGGCTGACTCAGGTACCTCCACCTCCTCTTCATCTACTTGCTCCTCCGCCAAAGGTACTGGTACTTATTCTTAAGCCGACTGAAAAACTGTCGGACCAAATTCCCCTGCGTGCCAGAGAGTCTTGTGGCCTCGAACTGGAGTTGTTGACCCTGCGGATGGAGTTTGCCCCCTAAGAATGCACCTAGTAGAGTTACATGCTACAATACCTCAGCAATTACTCTGCACCCTGCACCTTAAAAATATTTTTGTATTATTTAATGGCAAAATTTTTATTTCAAACAATATCAAATTGTGATATTTTTAAACTTTTATTATTTTTCCCTTAAATATTTATACACACGTTCATTAATTTTGATTTTAAAAAAATTGCTACTGTTAATTACAGTTTTTTACATTAAATAACGTTGAACTAACCTGCTTTAAAAAAAATAAACAATTATTAAAAATGGTACTGCGCCTAAACTAAATTATTGTTGAAAGAGTCTGTTAATAACATTTTTTTTAATCAATTTAAATTTTGTGTAGTTTACTTTAACAAGACCAATTTCCAATTAACAGAAACCACGCCATACAATTTTGATGGGAATTCACTTGCCTAAATAAGGCTGCTTTTTATTCCGATAATCTTGTATTTTTATTTTTAAGTAGTGGGATGGAACATTTTAAATAAAATACAAGAAGAAAATTAAAATACATGTGCAAGGCATTCAAGTTATGTCTTAAATTTAAAACTTACTGTAACCCAATAAGAAACTATATCTAGTGAATACCAACATGGATTACATAAAAGCTAAAAAAGCAGCCAAATAACTTCCGCTTTAATTCTAACCTCAGAGGCTTCTTGAACCTTTGAACACTCTTCCTCAAGAGAAATGCAGCTCGATGTGTTTTGAAATGTTTATCGCCCCAAGTAGAATTCAACCAGTCTAATTAACAAACTAGCTGGGAGTGTCTTGAACATAATATGTGGAATGAAATCAAACAAAGGGCGACAAAGCTTTTTGATAGTCCACCGAAATTAACCAGCTCATGAGTCAATTTTGGCCTCGCGCCCAATCTCGCACTAAATTTTTTCTGCACGCTAACCGGCATGCGATCTTCCTTGGCTTCTTCTAACATTTTTTGTTCCAATTTATGGTTTATTTGCGTTTCCTATTTGCCGCGAGATTTTTTTTTTATTTCGCTGTTGGTTTTCGGATTGGCAAACGCAGCCGTGCTACAGCAGCAGGGGCCTGCTGCTTTTATTTGGCAGGCGGTCCACATTCCGGGCAGCGCACTTTAGCCCTCCGCTGCTGGCTGCACCCCTCTGACCGAGCCACAAAGGGTAGGTGCCTCGACGCAATGGCCGTGTCCGCCTGCTGCTTTTAGAAACAATTTCCTTCTGTCGAAACATTTATTTTTCACGGCGCTTTTTTCAGCAATTATTTTTATATATAATTATATAATGCTTTGTGTGTTTTCTAAACTTCTCCTCTCTCGCTTCTTCTGATATGAGACACAGTACTTAGCCGCCACCGCTGCCGCTTTTGTGTCGATTTCGAATTTCATTTGCATCTCCGAGAGGTGACTGATTCATTTGTTACGTCCGCAGGCAAGGATGTCGCAGGTTGGAGACGGATTGCACACGCCGATGCAGCTCTCTTGGCGCAAACTTCAGCTCAGCAGGGCCAAACTGAAAGCTTCCAGCAAGACTTCCGCTCTGCTCTCCGGCTTCGCTATGGTATAAACAGTTATTGAGTTATTATTTAATCATTAATTAAAATAAAAATTTATTGCGATTTTTTTTCATTCTTCTCACATAATTAAATTTTTTAAATTAATATTTTTCATATTTAAATTTAAACGTTTCAATTTATTGTTTTCTCCTAACAATCTTTGGTTTTGAGATGATGCATACCAATTTGGATGAAAGTTGATACATAATTAAAACCCAATTTGCAAACCTGTTTGGGACTCCGGAAAGGGTATTAATCTTTGCTTAATTTCCCCTGGAATGTTAATTTGCATAAAAAAAATTACGAAATTTGGCCAAAAAAGTGTCGTCTATGCTAATATTTTTTCCTACTTCCAACTATACAAATTATGGCAAAAACAGAAGAAGTAAAATTAGGCAAAAATTATTGGCGATTTTGTATTAACTTTCTTCAAAATGGGGTTGTCGCATCTGAAGCACATAGCTTGTAAAATGAACTAGTTATAGAGATTTATTTTGTCTTTTTCTGATGAATCTCAGGTAGCGATGGTTGAGGTGCAACTTAACGAGAAGACACAAGTGCCCAATGGAATGTTGATCGCCTTTGCTGTGTGCACCACATTGCTCGTTGCGGTGCACTTGTTGGCGCTGATGATCTCAACCTGCATACTCCCTAACGTTGAGGCCATATGCAACGTGCACAACGCCAACCTGGTCAATGAATCGCCCCATGAGCGGCTTCACTGGTACATCGAGGCTGCTTGGGCGTCGTCAACCCTTTTAGGCCTCTTGCTCTTCCTGATCGAAATTGCCATTCTTTGTTGGGTATGTGGTTGGTTAATTTTGCACCGATTTGGGAATTAAGTTTACTTTTTGAACAGGTGAAATTTTACGATTACTCAGTTGAAGCGGCCTGGTCTGCATGCATAGTGCTGATTCCGGTGGTGTTTCTTTTTTTGGTTTTTGCGTTGCATTTCTACCGCTCTCTGATGACCCACAAGTACGAGGTGTCTGCCAGTGGCATCCGAGAACTCGAGGCACTCAAACAGCGCATGGACGAGGAGGACTTGGAGAGCAATAGGACTAACAACGGCAACTTCAACGTGCAAGTTGTGTGAAGTTTGCTCTTTAAATTACTCAGCGTTGGTTTTTTCCTTATTTATACTTTTGTGTGTTTCTTTCTTATTCCTTTACTTGACTTAATTCAGAGAATTGACGCAGATATATTTATGTGTTTACTGAAATTGTATTGGCATTTATATTGACACATAATGAACATCACAAAATGAAAATTTTAATATTTTTCTTCTGGTACTTAATAATTTAAGTAGCCTTTTGGATGCTGCCTTTTTGGGTGTCTGAAGCACACATTAAATTTTTTATTGCTCTCTTATACACATACCAAATTATAAATTGGGTCCTCTGTAGGATATAAGATTTAAACAAACTGTGTTCACAACGGAAAACTTTCTTAATGACAGAAGTTTACAAGCGCCTAAATGATTAAGATATCAGCAGGAGACACTACTTTGATCCCTTTTGAAACATTTTACTGTGCATAGTGTATGATAGCATTTTTACTATGTTATTAATTTATTAAAAAGACCTGCATTGTGTGATTTTTAGATTAAATGAAAACATGCCACTTGTAGAGCAGTCATAGAGTAAAAAATGACAAAAACTAACAAATATTGAAACTATGTTGTTTCCATGAATGAGATAAACGGGCCTTTAAAAATAAAACCCCAGTAATTAATAGTGGTTTTATCCATAGTTTTCATGTAATATTAACAACTTTTTGTAATTTTATACTCATTGAATTTGTAACAAAGCAATACAATGACAAATTACCAATTTTTAATTTAAATGATTTATTGTGTGTAATATCTGAATATAAAGAACCACTTGATCTGAATTTATTTTTCACGACTGTTCACCACAATAAGATGATATGAATAGATTTATGTTTGTAAATAAATGACAAGTTGGGCTCGTGTACACATCAATGAAACCGGCAAAGATCTTTAACCCAATTACTTTGAATTGTTTACAATCTGTTGCAGAATTTCCCGAGGCAATAAATCTTACAAAGTTTACACAATCTACAAACGATATGTATTGATAAAACGCAATAAACACACAAAAATAAAGTTGCCTTTTATCTCTGACCAGTGACTAAGTATAATTGTCATGAATTTTCAATGAAGTTTGACTATCCTTGAGACTTTAGTGATAAGATGAAAGTCTGGAGATATTTTATTATCACTAATATAAGCATGATTGCTAATTGCTTCTTTTTATTGGAATGACGGAATGCCCTTTCTGTGCACTTGAGTGCAGTACATGGCGCCATTGATTTTCAAAAACAGTTTAGTGACCAATGAAATCATGCAATTTTTATCGATAGCCAATGACAGTCCGAATCATCATAACTCCCTTCCCTTGTTGTGTTTACGTTTTCGTTCTTGAAGAGCCAGGTGTTTCCACTATTTCCGATTTAAATCTTCTCACGTTCAGTTGCCGAGATTCTAATTTTTAAATTTTGTGATATAAGTGCATAGGACAAGTCGTGAAAATGTCAATGTCTAAAGAGCAGGCCTCAAGATTTACTGTTGCTCCATTCGTTTTCGAACTGGTCGGAAATTATTTGCAGCAGCTTTTTCTAAAACCAGTCAGAACTCAAGCTGTTACGAAGTATACCAATCAAAATTGTCATAATTTGCAATTATTAACAGCAATTTTTAATTTATTTATAATATTGTTTCGTCATCATTAGTTCTTTGGTCTTGTTTCTTGGAAATGTGACATCTCAGTGCCTTCTTAGTGAGAGAAAACCTTTTGATAAGGACTCAGCCATGGCAACAGCCCTGTTTGGGTAAAATTAAATATAATTAATCATACAATTTAAGAGAATGTTATAAAAATTTTCGTTTAAATTAAATTTTTAGTCTGGTGTTTGGTGGTGCCATTCCACACAACTTCTATAAACTTCTGGACTCGGCGGTCAGAGGAAAAAAGTTACAAGGAAAGTTCTTCCGATTTTTAATTGAAAGACTCCTCTTTACACCAGCATATTTGCTTCTGAGGCTCTACATGACAGCAATATTTGAAGTATTTCTTCTAATTCTTGTAATTCAAAATTATAGTTAATGACATGTTGTAATTTTATGTGCAGGGAAAATCTCATCAAGCAGCTTGTAGGCATGTCCACCAAAGTTATCAAATCTTGTTGCGTGACAACTGGTACAGCCTTTCATTATTCCAGTTTTACTGTGTTAACTTCATTCCCTCAATGGTAATTTTTCATATTGCACTAAATTTATCAAATTGATCTCTTTCTAATGTGAATAATTATTTCAGTTTCGCCCCCTATTTTCGAGTGTGATTGATTTCTTTTGGACTGTTCATTTCACAAATAAGCGAAGAGAAATCGAAGAGCGTAAGCGATGATTTGCAAGAAAATGCTCAAGGCCACTTTGTTATATTTTTACTCTGGGAATCAATTGTTATATGTTTGCACTGGGCAATTTTGCTATTTTTTTTTTCAGAAACGGAAGACTATACCCGATCAAAATTTCTGACATTGCCTTAGCCTGAGTTGTTGCTTAGACTTTTATACATTATTATCATTATTTTATTCATATCCTTTTTGTTAAGTCTTTATTTGTTTAAGATGAAATTTATTGAATAAAAAGCTTGTTTTTTAACATGAAATTTTTATATTAAAGAATAATAATAGTTTTTTTTTCTGATTTGTAAAATATTACTTCAGTTGCTACTTTCAACTAATGTTAATTGTAAATTTATTTATTGAAAAAACAATATTTGGTTTTGTGGCAATCATAATAATTAATGGTACACTACAGTAAGCTACTTGCTTGACTTAAAGATACTCTTCTTCAGACTGCCTGTTCTGCTTGTCTCTCCAGCAGGCTGAAAAATACATTTTTATAGTATGCGAATTTTTCGATTCTTATCAAATTACCACTAGCCGAGAGCCAAACAGCATTCGCGCTTTATCCTCCTCTTGAGGTGAAGCTCTTTCTTCCACTGCAGTTTTGGTCATCTTGATCTGCAGTTTTTGCTTAATAGCCTGAAGATATGAAGGTTTATTTTTATAATTATTGCAAATTTTTATATTTCTTGATTGAGCTTACCTGAGATAAAATTACTTTTCTGCTGTCACTTTTCATTGCTAACAATAAATCGAGCCAAGTCCAAGTGACATTATGGTACTCCAAGGTGGGGATAGTCAAGCTGAAGTCTCTTATGTCCTCGATATTTTTCTCCTTTGATCCTTTGTAGCTGACCTTGACGGGCACTTCGGGTATCTTGATGTAGATGAACAATTTATTCTTCTCGGCTCTTTCTTTCATTTTCTCGACGTCATCTTTGCGGTTAATTTTCACATAGAAGCTCGCTTCCTTGCCTTTTTTCCCCTTCAGTCTTTTGCTACCTCTAGAATCTGCTTCTAGGTCTTCGTCACCATCAATTGTGTTTGGATCTCTCTCAGGGAAGCAGAACTTCAGCATTGTGTTGTAAAAGATTTTTGTAAGACCTAAATAAATTTTTCCTTAAGATGGATACTTTAATTATACCAAATTTAGACATACCTATAGTTAGCGGGACGACGTTAATTTCAAAGTGCTCTTTTACAGAGATTCCACCAACTGGGGCCTTCTCTCGACAGAACACCCTCACAGCTCTCTGCAATTTTTGTTGTAAAATTTAATTAGGAAAGTTTAAAAATATGCCATACTTTGTGATCAACAGGCATGTTGCTCTGGATTTCAGTCGGCAAGAGGACTTCGGTATAAATTTGGTTTGGCAGCAAATTCGTCATTCTCACATAGCCAAGCTCAAGCAAGTGTTCAACAGAATCATCACTTCTTGAATTTTTGGTGTATCTATAAGAGAAACAAAATATTAATTTAAATGTTTCATGACAAAAAAAATACATACAAGAAGTTGCTGAGAATTAGATCGGCAATTCCAAGTTGTCCATCTGCTTCGGTGAGTCTCCACTTTGCATATTTGAAGCAGATTTCATTGGCCCTGATAGTGGCCACAGACTTGTCACCCCTCATTGTTGCCAATTTCTGGTTGGCTGTTATTTGCGTCTCTTTAAAGCAGGAGATCATCACATTGAGCTCTTCGCTTTGTGCTGTCAGCGTCTCTTTGCAATCATACACCTGTTGCTCCAAACTCTCCTCCTCCTTTAAAAGCTCCAGATTATTGGGGTCTTCGCACAACTTTGACTGGATCTGGTGAGTCTTCTTTTCCAACCTCCTAACTTTAGAAACCATAGATCTGAAATCATATAAATTAAAAATTTTGCACTGACGAATTTATGAAATTTATTACCGAACTTGGTTTTGCAACTGCTGTATGGGTTTTCTCTGATCTTCATTGCTATGCAATTGCAGCTGGAACCGCATCCTCTGTAGTCTTTCGGCAGCTTCTTTTCTGCTCGGCTCAACATGAAGCAACAAATTGTTCACCACGTCCAAAATCATGGCATACTAAAAATATGTTTGGTTTTAGTACAAACAGTGAAATGTGACAGTCAACGGGACTAACCTGCAGCGAGTTAGTGCAAACATCAAGGTCGTGATGCATCAATGTAAAGGCGTCCACACCTTGTTCTCTTTGTTCCCAAGGCCCTGCACCTTCGTCGCTGGGTGGTGGAGGAACGTGGTCAATGGAAACAGGATCAAGGCTACTATCTCCATAACAAGCATAGAAAAACTCACATTTGCAACGCGAGACTATTCTTTGGAGCTGCAAATTATAATAATTTAATTATCATAATAATTTTCTTTAGGCAGTTAATATACTTGAATCGGGGAATTTTCAGTCTCAGTTCCTACACCCACAGTTTCACTGACTATCCCACCAACAGAATGACCACTGCCAACTATGTCTGGCACATCTGCAGGTTTCTCTATCACAGCCGAATCTTTTTCTTTCTCCTCGATGTTGTCAATCGTCAGCCACATAATATTTTCTAAAATTAGTTGCTGTTAGGCCCAACGCTTCTTACAATTACTAGAAACTATTTACCATCTGGTGTGTCTCCGGCTATCACAGTAGCATAATACTGCATGCACTCAAGCGATCCAACCCAAGTGCTTTTCGACACGAGTGTATGCTGCTTCCAAGTGGGCCGATGGATTCGCTGCAGAATTTGTGCTTTAGCTGCGCTCATTATCACGTATCCCTTTGTTTCACATCCTTTGAGCAAAACCTGACTGTTAACCAGAACAACTTAAACAAATAAATCAGTAAAAATTCTGCTGCAGGAATCAAAAAATTTTTACTGTGCCAGTTTTCGTAGATGACGTCGTGTTCACTGCAAGACACCAGTCCTTGCAGAATTTGCTCCTTATTTTGTGTAGAAAGGTCATCACTGTAAACAACGTTCTTGTTGTCCACCTCAGCTATCAGCTGCTGCAGCATAGTGGCAGCGTGGCCAGATTGCAACTTGGTCATGGGTGACGGAGTTGCTGTACTTTGCTGTATATAAATTAATGTAATATAAAGTATTTGAAGATTCCCCATCAAATATTCAAACCTGGAGAGTGGGGTTGGAAGGTGTGTTTACTTGGAGTGAGTCATTTGAGCGAGGTCTGTTTTTCATTGGAGTATTAATCGTCTCTCCCTTGAAAACCTTAAATGCGTCCGTTGAAAGGTTCTTTTTCAGTTGCTAAATCGTCATAAATTTAGAGAAATCAATTTAAAAATCAATCTTGATCAAACCTGGCTCTTGACAAATGAGTCAAAAAGTGCAAAGGCCACGTCTCGGTTGCTTTTCGTCCAGGCGCCTTTCAGGTCATAGACTACGAGGCGATGGTGCGGTGCTCCTCGGCCGTCTTTCACTTGCCCAAGGGTTGTTTCTCTGCCATAGGACACTTTGGCCACACTTAAAAAGTAGCACTTTTCAACCGGTTGTCGCAGTGACACTTGCTCCTTCTCAGGATCTTCTTGAAGCGCCGACTGCAGCCAAATTTCAGCGTCGTTGAGCTCGCAGTTCATGTAACCGATGGACCACTCGGCCCTTGGTCGATGGATCAAACCGTCATCAACAGGGACAAGGTTCAGGATGTGCTCAGATGAACAAGAGATGCGGCCACCAAGCAACTCAAAACCACGTTGCTTGGCAAAGGACATCCAGTAGCACACTTGGAATTGGTGCAGCCCCAGCAAAAGATGGATCTTGCGGTAGTGTCGGCTGAGCTGCAGTTTTCGTGGGCGCACATTTTTGAAAAGTTTTCCTCGCCGAGTAGGACGGGTAACGCCAGAGAGGATGAGTTTGAGGGACTCAAACCAACGTAGGGTTGAGCCATACAGAAGTGCGATTGGAAAATCAAAGTTTGTAGAGCCGGCAGAATTTGCTGCTGGTTTGGTCTCCAAGGCTATGCTGAGATTTACATGTTGAGACCTGTGGAGAAAATGTTTTTTCAGTAATTTGTTGTTCCAATAGAAACATTAAATCAATTTAATTTTAATTCCTCATTCTCTAGTTAAAAATACCAAGAGTAAAATTATTGAACTAAATGTAAGTAAATAAATTTACCTGAAAGCTCTGAAAGAATCATGCTCCTGATTACTAGAGTACTCTGGGAGCTTGTCTGGGGCGCATGGCATGACGGAGTGATGGTCATTAGGATCAGCCAAACAGACCCAGTGGAGTTTTAGCGTCAGTTTGAGGTTTGGCAAGTGCAGCAGGCGGCAATCGTCATATTTTGAGGCAGTCTTCACATAAATATTCAGGTCTCCCTTAAAAACAAACTTAGCGTTTGTCCAGTCCATGACGACTTCACTCCAAGTGAGCTCCATCTCCTCAGTCGTGTTGTATGGATCGAGGGAGGCGTGCAAGAGCACCGTCATTGTCTGCATGGACATAGTCAGGCGACCGTGGTACAAAAGGCGAATTTTGTCCCAGAATGGCAATGGAGGGCTTGGATCGCGCGACGGACTTGAGATACGCTCAAAGTTTAGGTTGCATTGTGCAATCACAGGTTCCCAGCACGGCCCAAATGCATAACTGAAGTGCTCAACGTCACAACTGAAGTCGTGGTAGAATTTAAGTGAGGTCATGCTACGCTCGATTACTTCGCTGGGCCAGGTGTCACCTAGCTCAACTAAGCAAGTACGCTTAGCCCTCTTGGTTGCCTCTTGCTCAGCACCCACAAGTCGGCCCCAAACCAACATGCTGCGGATGTGCAGCAGCGGCTGTGGAAAGTCGCGCAGCAGGAATTTCCACTCCTTGCAATTCAGTCTGACTGCCCGACACCACAGTGTTGTGAAGCTGAGCCCTGAAGTTGGCCAAGGGCTTTCACAGTCTATCTCAGTCATAACTGCAACAGCATTGTCGGTTCCGTGAACTGACGGGTCAGCCAGTGCCAATATCTCCAGTTCTTGCATTGTCCAGGCAAAGAGACGAGTACGAGCTGGGCCAGATTGGCTTATCTGTTTTGAGCGTTGGATGTAGATCTCGGCATTTTTCTTGTTCAAGCCCTTGTACAGTTCCTCAACCTTGCCGCTGGGAAAGTGTAAAATATTCTTCTGGAGCTCCTGGGAACAAAGAATATTGATCAATGATCATATCCGCTATCGGTTCAAAAAGCCAAAAGAATATTATAAAATTAATTTATAAATAAAAGTGATGCTCCAATCAAATAGCAAAAATAGCAGTACCTCAACTTTTGCTGAAAGCATCTTTTTTCTCGTTTCAGCCTCCCTGTATTCATCTTCGAGCAGTTCGTAGTTGTCTCTGAGTTTTACTTCAAACGGATCGTCGCTCATTTCAAAGGCAAACTCCTGGACACGTATAAGCAAATCAGGTGGCAATGGACTTTCGGCAGTAAAGGGCTTTTTCTTGTACTTGTGGATCAATTTAAGCCACTTGAAGAGACTAACAAACTCATTCTGCACAGCCTCGGCAAAATTGTGCTCGTGTGGAAAACGAACAAGCAGAGTCCGCATTGATATGGACCACGTCTTATTCCACGGGAGAACAAAATTATCAAGACTCTGCCTCTCTGCTCTGATCTCTTCGCTGTCTTGCAAGGTACCCACAACTAAGCCGTCAACAAAGAAAGTGTCAGCGCCATCAATGGCAACACGGCCACTGCTCGACTGGACTGAAATGTCGCTTCCGACCACAGACATGACAAAATCTTCAGCGGAAATACGCATGTCGTGTCTGCTGGAGATCTTGATACCCAAAGACATTTGTCCTCTCATCCGAACAATTATTTTCTTTGAAGTTTTCTTATCCGTTGCAGACAGCGGCATATCTTTTTTCTTCATAGTGTACTTCATACTGTGGACAAATGCCAAAATGTCCTCATACAGGCTGAGGAGCTGTAAGTGCAGCTCTGTGTTCCAGTTAACACTGATCTCCTCACTCGACTGAATACCAACTTCATTGCCAGCTTGCTTCATGCTCAGCTTGGCACCCTTCATGAAGCCCCATGCATTTTTTAGTTCATCTGCTTTGATGCAGTTATAATACAGGCCAGTCTCCATCGACAGCACTTTGGCACCTTCAAATCCAACACTCAACTTGCTCTTAAACTTCTCCACCTTGGATGAATCAAGTCTGAGCATGAGGCTTGTAGACTTGTCTGAGTTCTTCTCGTCATTGACGACCAGGAAAATATTTACGTTGCTGAATGTGACAGTGACAGCCAGCTCGTCAAACGGTGACTCAGTGCTTGGCATAGCAACAACAGAGTGCCTGTGCGCTGGACGGGTAGGAATCAGAGGTTGGTAGTCCATCATACACTTGACACTTTGCTCGACAAACTTTGCCCAGTCGTCCGACCACTCGAATCGCACACAGTCCAGTACACCTTTCAGTGTGTTGGGTTTTTTGGCCTCCAACAAAATAACTCCTAGATATGCAGGTGTTCCCCAGATGTGTTGCAACTTTGCCTGAGGGTCCGGAGAGTCGAGCATGGGAACTCCGAGGCGCCACCAAAGTGCCTCAACCAAGAGATCACCAGTCCAGGCTTGCATTATAGGAACCTCTGTAATATTTTGAATCAATTTTAGTTTATCTATTGATAATTTAAATTGCTTACAAACCTTCTTCCAAATCATCGATCACAGACACAAAGCTCAGCTTAGTATGGTTGCACCCTAATCCAGCATTGTGGTTCTCAGACAATTGCAATGAAACAGCAATGTTCCAAAGCTCCACGTTTGTCTGCAGTCTTGAAAGAAGGTCAACAGTCCACCTGGGCATTGGTTTCTTTGTTCTAGAAACTTGTCTTGAAATCTGAAAATCCATTTTTATAATTCATGTTGAACACAAATTAGTGTGAAAAATTACCTGTGCATTTTTAGGAAGCTTGAAATTTGTAGATGCCCATTTATATATGTCCCGGTGAATATACGTAGCCGAAAATGTATCCATCAGGACGTCCACAATTGGGGTTTCATTCAAAATTTTGGCGTCAACTTTCAGCTTTTTTAGTCTTAATAAGGTAACATGGTTGCATTTGACCTTCAGTTCTTCCACATCCACATTCATTAGCATATCTAAAGCTAGCAATTTAGAAGTCAAACTCAAATTAATCAAGTATTCTTACCAAAAGGCACAATGGAGAATGACGATTTAACAACAAAGCTCTGCAGAACAGCACAAAAATCTGGCCTTGAATGATCCCTCATTCCAGTCAAAGTTGTGCAGCCAACTTTTAAGCTAAAATTCTGAAATATCAGTCAATTTTAAAAGTTTTAATTAACATGCAAGAATTAAATTCCAAACTTGCCTTGGGCATGATTTTAGACAAAGTTTGCCAATTTGTGTGATCATCGCCCCAAACAGGTTTATCAATTTTCCTAGCAACAGATTGCTCTCCCCTTGACAATCTCTGCGCCTGAACCAGTTCATAGAAACCATCATTTATCACAGCTTGAGGCTTTTCCACCTCTACAGCCAGTTTCTAGTTTGAAATCAATATTAAATAAGATTTTAATTTGAGATAGAAAAATTGTACTTCGACAGAAAGAGGACCCTGGGCCAGAAGAGTTGCCTCCAGAGCTAATCCAAAAGCCACTTCTCCAAGAACAACATGCACATCATCATGACTTTGGGCATGTTGCTGAGTGTGTTTGAGGATCTTAGCAGATGCACTCGAGCAACGAATGCTAGCCAAAAGTCTGGCTCCGTGCACAACACTGCCATCTACATAGAGCTCCTCAGCGGCAGCATGGATTAGCCACTCTGGGGTGGTGGAACGCAGGAGCATCACAGTCACTCTGTGCACATGAACAGCTAGGAACTACAAAACAATTTTCATTGTTAATTTAAGTACATATAACTTCAAAAAAACTAATAATATACTTGGGTAAGACTGATCAGTACTGGAGGAACTCTAAGGTCCTTCATATTTAAAGACGTAGGACTGGTGTTGACATTTGTAATGAGTTCGCCTTCTTGAGCCCTGCCGATATCTTTCTTAATGCGAACATCTTTGATGATTACCAACAGTAGTTTGCTGACTTCACTGCTTAAGAAACTGCTTCGCAAGGCAACCTCCTCGATTTGCTGCAGAATGGAACGAATATTAATTGGTGATAGTAGTGCTTGAAAATTTAGATAAATTACAATGGAGAAGCCGCTGCGGGTTATGTGAACTTCCTTCAGAATTAAATAAGGCCACCCCAGGCCAATTCTTCCAATGCTAACATTTACATTGAACTTTATTTTGAAAAACCATGCCAGCAGCCAAGGTACAATCCTGCGAAAGAAAAGGTTAACGAGTATACATGTAATAAATTCCAATGATAGTTATTGCTAAATATTAACCATGACGTAAATAGACAGACGGCAAATACGATGAGCAGTAAGGTGCCGAACGCGACCATTATGCAGATGAAGATTTTACACCTTCGACGATAACGACATCAGCAAAAAATTCAACACGCTCTCGTCCCCGCGAAAATATCTGAAAATAAGATATATGTATGTGTCTTTAATATAAACCTAATAGCATCCTTAACTAAAGCGCCATGGAATACTCAAAATGACAAGAAATGCAATTTAATAAAATTCTGACCTGTCAAACCGTTTTTAATTTTTGTTGTTGCCCGTGGATTAATTCTTAGGTGGTTACACCCCCGTGTTTTTAGATTAGACTCTCGGAGTTTGCAACGCTCTTTCCGTGTTGTTAAAAACTTTACGAAAATAGTTTTCAATATTATTTAATAAGTTTAAAAAATAAATCTTTATACTCAAAATTAATGCTAAATTATTTTTAATTTTGATTAAACATCAATTACTATTTTTATCATTTATTTTCGGGTTTGTTCCCTAACTCCTTTCGATACACCCCATTTGGGATGGGCTTGTCTTTTGTTGTGTGCGCCGCCCGCCGCCACCGTGGTCCGCAAACGCGAACTAAAAGGCGTGCGCCTCGGTTCTCGGTGCTCGCGTGTGCCCCTTGACCTGTTTATTGTTTTTTCTTTTGCATTCCTGTCTGAAATTTTTCGTGGGGTGCACACGAGGGCCGCGTGGGTGAGAAGAGGAAAATGGACCCAGCATTGGTGACGGGCCCGAATCTGGGCTACGCGTTTGCAGCGTGCAGCTCGCTGACTTTCACTGCCATAAACTTGTTCTTGCTGGCAAATGTTGTGCCCAAGAGCGCGCGGAACACCTTCAGTCAACAATGGAAGTGGAGGAACACGTTCAACTCGCTCATTCACTCTGTCCTTACTGGAATTGGGGCGCTCTATTGGTGAGAAATCCGAAATTCTTTTTACATATTTTATTCACGATAAATTGCGTTCTTTAGCGAAAAGTAAATTTTGCAATCTTTTGTAAATATGTTGCGCAGCACACTATGCATGGTCTATGCGTCAGACAGGATTACGTAATTTTTATATTGGAAAATTGCTTTGTGCTCAATCACGAGTCTCATTGGAGACTACAAGTCAGAAGTCACAAAAAGATTAAAATGTCAGACGTTTTATTTTCAAGACCCATGATTTTTAAATCATAGTTTGTGTCAGAAAATCATTCAAATGTATATAGCAAGAAAAATATTTATTTTTTATTTTATTTTATTAGTATTTATTCTTCTCGTCGGTCAATTTTTATGTAATGCAGTCAAACTTCTTATTAATTTAATATACTTGCATTTAAAGTGAGCCACTTTGATTTTAAAATTTGGTATAAAACTAGTATAATAAATATTTGTACATACGTTGTACATAAATATGAAATGAAATTTTGCTAAGAATTACTAAAATTTTTAATTTTTTAAATCCAAAAATCTTGAGTGTATTTAATTTTTTGTTTCAGTTTTTGGGAATCTCCTATGTTGCGAGAAGACCTAATCAACAAGTACACAAGTTCTTCCCATCTTTTGATAAGCGTTTCCGTAGGTAAGATAATTTTTTGTCGGTGGAAAACTTTTAAAGCATTTCCAATTCCAAGTGCATTTAAGCGGAGGTAAATGTATGCAACATGTTCGTTATTGACCTCACCCTCTCACGAAGAGAAAAATTCAATAATTGTTTTCATAACAATTTGTTTGCGATGGGCAATGTCATTCTCTATGGGAAGGCAAGCAATTATTTTCCTATGCATAGATTAAAAAAAAATAGATTATTGCACACTGTTGTTGATAATTTTAAGTTTTGCGAACACCGCACGTCACCACACGTGTTATTTTTGCTCGGAACTTCTAGTGATTACATAATTTTTTGCTGTTTTCTTATCTAAATTATTTGCTATATTTTCCGCACAAAGCCGCTTTGTTTATCAGATTGAGTAGCGATCACCCCATTTTTAACATAGACCTGCTTATCAACAATAATGAACGTAATGAACATGCGAGCTTTATCAAAGATTAAAATTTAATCAAATGTTTTTATTAATTGGTATTGCTTTGTGACTTACATGTTTCATCTCAATCCACCTCAGTGACCTCCTTTTTTTCTTGTTGTTTATATTTATTTTGATACTTTTTTATGGTTTGTGCAAGCATAAATAATTTATTGTCTTTAAATTTGAGTTAAATTTATTTAAAATGTTCAAATTTGTTACGTTTTTCCTATCCCTAATAATCCTATGATGTGAATAAATAATGGAGAGAGATGCTGATTTTTAATCCATCTTGAGCTACAAAATGCTATAATTAAGAGAAGTAAATTTATAAATTTCAGCACACCTAGCCATCCAATTGAAGTTGGTTTTGTTCTTACTTTTTGTTTTTTGTTATTGAAGCTATGATGAAAAATAACTTATCAGAATGAAACTTCAAAACTCGCCATCATTAAATGTGTGACTCTTTCAGGCTATTTCATCTACGACTTCTGTGATTTACTGATAAACCACCGAAAAAGGAGCAGCTATGAACTCTTGTTACACCACACCATGGTACGTTTTAAAATTAATCTCTTCCACAAAAATATTCAAAAGAAAATTTTAGCATTAAAAAAAATTGATTTTATACAGGTGCTGATGTGTTTCGGCTTGGCCGTTGTGACTAAACATTACCTTGGTTATGGAATTGTTGCCCTTCTTGTTGAGGTCAACAGTGTGTTTTTGCACACCCGCCAACTGATGCTGATCCAAGGCATCAGTAAAAACCAACTCATTTATAGAATCAATAGCATGCTGAACATTGGTAGATATATTAAAAAAAAGTGAGGATTTTTTTTCAAGAATTCTTTTTTAAGGCACATTCGTCGTCTTCAGAATTGCCACTTTGGGCTGGATGACGCGTTGGCTGGCTATTCACAAAGATGAGTTGACTATGACTGCCTTTACAATTGGAAGTGTTGGTGAGTAAATTTTTTACAGATTCTTTTTCAAGGAAGATGATTTTTTTTTAATTTCAGCCATGTCAGTGGTGATGCTCATGAATATTGTTTTGTTTTTGCGAGTTCTTGTGGCAGATCTCAGATCGAGTCAAAAATCACAAGAAGCTGATCCAGTTGCAAAGAAATCAAATTGAAGGTCCATCGTTAGTTTTAAAAAGTATACACAAGTTATTTTATAATTCCAATATTTGCAATGAACCGACCAAGCCATTCTTTTGTGTTGAGATGGTTATTTATTTAGTGCAGCGCACAGATGTCGATGAGTCGATAATATTTTTAAGAGATGCTTAGTTTTTACACTAAACTTGCAATAGTTTTGTATGATATAGCCGAACAAAGTATTGTAACTGTCAAGATTAACGCAACTGCAAGGTGAATATCACCTAAAAACATTCACCCACATCACTGTTCCTTTAAACTAAGAAAATCCTAAATATTTGTATGTGTTCTCGAGGATGTCAATCAAATGCTTAAATATTCCTGATTAATTTAACTATACTCTGCAGGCTCTTGCTTTCGAGCTTGACAATTAAAGAAAACAAATTCTGCTTTCAATAATCAGTATTAAATTGCTTGTGTCTATTGAATGCACATCATATACATTGCCAACCAATGCCTTTGATATACAATTAAATGCCACTGTCTCTCAAGAGTACAAGTTTTCAAATGAGTAAAACTGTCATTCATTTAACTGTTGGTATTGCTAAAAATTTAAAGCAGCTTGTTTTGAATTTGATGTGTTCCCCTCTAATATTTTTTGGTCATTATTTTAAAAAGTATATAAAAAGACAAGCGTTATATTTTAAAATACACCCTCGTGCTCATTTTTACAGAAACTTACTTCCATGAAGTTGCTATTATTTGTTGTTTGGTGTTATCACATAATAAAAAGTTAATGTATATTTTGATATTTCATTTATTCAACACAAAGAAACGTTAAATGCAGAAAAATGAGTTTATCTTGAGTAAATTATTTTCAAATAAGAAAATGAGTAAATATTAAGTTCATCAGGGTTTTTTAGTTACATGCAGTTGTCGAGATTCATGATGCTAGTATCATCTTCATTTCTAGAGACCTGCATGGCCAATGGCACACCTTGGAAATTTGATTCACTCACAGAAACCCCAGGGAGCCTATATTTCAGGTTCCATTTACTGCTTATTATTTAAGGATAAATCATCATTTACGTGTTGAGTACTTCCTCCGCCAAAAGCTTGTCTTTGTCTGCTGGAACATGACTGCACCATTTGTAGTAGATGCCTTGAGAACTGCATTCCGAAAGGGTGCACTGCTTCATTGACAGTTCTGCACCTTTGTAAATCTGAATAAAATGAGATTTATATCTCATGCTAAATGCCAAAACTATTATATACGTTTACCTGCACTCCAATATCACAATTCTTGATTTGGCAATTGACAAGTTCTACTTGGGAATTTTCATAAGCTATTATGGCCGAGGTAAAACCAGTGAAAGTACAGTTCCTGGCCAAAAGTTTGGCACCAGCCCTAACGATGGCCCCAACGCTATCATCCTTGTCATGACTTCCACCACCATCAATCTAAAAATAGCAGAAATAAATAAGCATTTGGCAAGGGTTGTATTTTCTGGAAAGTTACCACACAATTGTCCAGTAGGACAAAACCAGCATTCAGTAAAAGACAAATTTCCATCTTGTATGCCTCAAGCGTCACATTTGCTATAGTGAAGGAAAATCCCTTAGCAGACGAGCAATCATCGCCACCATTGCCCATTTCTGTTTCATCAGCAATTACTATTTTGCAACTGATACTGAACATAACATCTCCCGCTTCACAGCCTGATACTATTGCCTTTTGCATGCCAAGACCTATAAAAACATCATCATTTTTATAAAATCAAACTTAATCAAGGAATTTGTATTATACCGTTAATTGTGCCACCACATTCAAGTCCTCCACTACCTGTCACAGAATATTTTCCAGGTGCCAAGAAGATGAAATCACCTGTACTGGCCTCTTCTAAAGCAAGGGGCAGCAGGGGATACATCCTGTTTTTTTATCATTAAAAAAATTATATTTAAGTGAGATAAGTAAATTATTAATATTACTTCAAACGTTGGTCGGAACCAGCCACCAACGATGCATCTGACACTAAAGAGGCTAAATCCTGAGAGCTGCCACCTCCCCACACAAGACGACTCCATGGCGCCTCGACTCTATCACTCCTCTGCATCATTCTCTGTTTTTCTCTCACCATCAAGTTTCTACATTTAGGGAATTTATAAAACAGAATTAAAAATTAATTTTGAGTTTAAAACTAAAAACCTAATGAGCGGGTTCTGTAGGCGCTCAAGTTCATGCTTGATGCAGTCAAGTCGGTGGTGCAGCTGCATGATTTTAATGACCAACCCTTCCTCTTCATGAGCTTGTACCTCAAGGGGCACTGGTGACCCATCATCATCAATAGCCACCTCCAGGCTTTGCAATGTGTCATGAATATCCCAAGCCTGCCTCCACAGCCTCTTCACCCTCTCGAACACCTCACAGCTGACCAAACCTTGGTCCATATCGTAGAGCCTAAATCATCAGAAGATGATTAAATTATCATTTCCCGTGTAAAAAAAACCATACAGCTGCATTCTGGGTTCCAAGGCTGACATCCTCCAATCTTCATTGTCATCTTCCTCGTCCCAGGGAAGCCACAGATTGACTCGGAAAAATCTTTAAATAATGAAAAATATGTTTCTTGAAAAAAAAATTGTGCTGTAGCATACCTAAATTGATCAATAATGTTAGATATTTCTATTCCATCCACATCTGAATCAGGCTGCTTAATGCAAGGGTACAGGTCTTCCAAGGGTACGCAGAACATTTTGTTCGTCACAGTAGAGGAAGTTTCTGATGAGGTAGTTTGGGTTTCACATTGGTCAGCTCCAATAACGTAAGCTTCAAAATTGTGGAACTCTACTTTTTCAACCTGAAAAAATAACGTCAATCAATTTTCATCTAATTACATAATTTTAATTGATTAGTTGATGTAATTCTTAATAAACTTACACCACACAAGGTTTTGCTATTAAATAGAATTACAATTAAACAAGCTTAGTAAGAACTATATGCATATTTAATTAATAATACATAGACAGATGTTTTCAAATAATAATTATTAGAGTAATAAATTTACAAAATTTACCATCACTAGTTCATTGGCATAGTCCAAAGTCGAAGGCAACTGCTTATTGTTTCTGAGGGGCTTGTAAACGGCCACCCAGCCGTACTTTTTCAGCGTTAGCTCCAGGTGAAATCTCCACTCGTCCATAATCTTGCTGCCAGGAAGACAATCTTCGCGGTTCAAGACGCTGACAAACTCAGTCATCCGCTCCTCATAGTTTTTTCTTACGGTCTCTATCCTGTGATCCATCTTTTATTTTTGTTCGTGGAACTTGCGCTAAAAAATATAACATATAAAAATAATAAATCAGTACGTTGCAAACGAAAGACGTAAATTTTTTTACAAAATAAATTGTTGACCATGAAGACATTGGGAAAAAATTATCAATTTGGATCAAATCATTAATTAAAATGTTAAAAACAAAAGCTTTCCAATTAAAAAATGAAGGGAGTGGCCTCTAAACTAATGATATTTCCGTGATCCGTGGTGGTCTTTTGACTGGGTACTGCGAAAATTAGAAAAACAACACCTTTTCTCGCCAAAATTCTTTGCAAGGCGGGTGCATAACAATTTTATTTTTGTCTCCAGCCGCCAGTGGGCTGGACAACCAATCAAAATTGTTGCTCGTTTCTCGTGACATCATGATTGGCGCAGACAGTCACGTGACTGCTGTCAGCTGGAACGGGAATTTATCAGGAAAATAAGATAGGATGCAGATTTGATGTGAAGAGATTGTTTCCAAAGATGGGTGTTTTAGTATTTTTTTACCCGGATTGCGATGAGCTACGAGATCGGCACGTCATTCGGATTACTTGAAAAACACGCCTGTTTGTCTGCGTTGATAAACAAAAATCTTGCGCGTGAGTGCACGCTGCTCATAATTTTACAAACAAGGGAGAGGGACGAGTTCTTATTTTTATTCAATTTTTATTATTGGAGAAGTGCGGCTCTCTTTTTCTCGCCGCGTGTTATCTGTCTTCCTATGATTTTGTTTGCGTAAATTGCTCAGTCAATGTACATAATATATTTCAATGCCATTGTTAACCTTCGAGGAAGAAACCATCCATCATTATTGACCAGCTTTTTCTTTCTCTCTCGCTCACAACCATCAATAAGGTCAAAACGAATCTCCTCTCGTTAAACGTGTGTTGCTGGATGTTTGCCAACTTCTTCTTTTGCTAGCAGAGAATTGATATTAATATGTGCTGATTACAGCTGCGTAAGTGTGCCCGAAGGCTAACTCGTAGGCAGAGGCACAGAGAGGCCGTTGCACCAGCGATATCATTTTCCAATGCACGCGAATTCGTGCTGTCATTGAGCGCCGAGCTGCCGCCGCAGCAGCAACAGAGACCGACACCCGCTGCGCGAGTGTCATTTGCAAGCAGCAAGCGTGACAAACTTGCAGGAAGGACTACTTGTCAGTTCTCCGAAGCTCAAAGGGTTAGACATGGGCTCATCAGCGGATGACTCGATGAGATCGATCTGGCGAAACGCCGACGCCGTCTGCTTTGACGTTGATTCGACAGTCTGTCAAGACGAGGGCATTGACGAACTGGCAAAGTTCTGCGGAAAATATGATGAAGTGTCAAAATTGTTAGTATATTTCAATTTTATTTTTTGTGCAAAATTTTTTACTAATTTTTTTATTTTTATTTTCTTAGAACAAAGGAAGCAATGACTGGCAAAATGGAATTCAAAGAAGCACTCAGGAAACGACTGAGCATCATTCGGCCCACACTCAACCAGATGAGAGACCTGATCAGGACACGACCTCCGAAGCTAACACCTGGAATCAGGTTGGTTTGCAGCAGAAATTTTTAATTAGACGAACCCGTTTTTACTCATTTCATGTTTAGGGAGTTGGTATCGGCGCTTCAGCACCGCAAAATTCCTGTTTACTTGATCTCTGGTGGGTTTCGGGGTCTCGTCGGCCCCGTTGCTTTGGAGCTCAACATTCCTCTGCAAAACATTTACGCCAACAGGCTGAAATTCTTCCTAAATGGTGAGCTTATGGATATTTTTCCATTTATAATTCTTATGCAATGAATTAAAAACTATGAGAAAAAACTAGAAACTAAATCGGGGCAAATAACAGAAATTTATATAAGTTTATAAGCAATATTGAAATGTTTCTTGGTAACGTAAAATATTTAAAGTACTAAGATTCAGGTTGAAAACTAACAAAAAAATTCAATTTTAAAGCTTAACAATATATAAGTATTTGATTTTGCCTTTGGACCATTGGCTGAAGTCCTATATTATCATGTAATCTATTCATATCCGCTTAGATCCCGGACCGCAGACCCTTTAAATAATAGCCCTCATACTAAATTTATTACGTAATGCAACAAAAGATAATTATTTAAAATCTAAGTAAGATCACAAATTTTATAAATTTCTTCGCATAACATGAAAATATAATATTTAATCAAACAGCTCCGAGGTTTAATACACTTTCTTTGCGTATAAAGCCAAGCTGTTATTTTATGTGTTATGGTGAACATGTGCAGCTTGACGTGTTTTATTGTTATCTTATTAATCGCCGGCCTTGCCCTCTGTGGAGAGAGAGCATGCATGGTGTGCATCCAGTTAATTGAAGAAAAAGTCATGCGCCTACTCTTGTAAAAGTTGCTCCTTTTGTCACGCTCTTCCCGAGCTAGGCGCGTGACCTTAACCTCCCTCGTGAGCGGCCGGATCGTTGACCCCGAGCGCTCAGAAATATCTCTCACGCGGCTTGTGCAAAAATCTTGCAGGCGAGTATGCTGGCTTTGACGAGGAGGAGCCGACGAGCCGCAGCGGCGGCAAGGGCGAGGTCGTCCGCTATTTGAAAGCCAAAAATGAATACACGAATGTCGTGTTGATCGGCGATGGCGCCACCGACCTGGAAGCCTGTCCACCCGCCGACGCGTTTATCGGCAAGTGCAATTTGATTATTACTGGGAATCGCAATCACGTCACTCTTCACTCATTGATTTTTTTTTCATAGGAGGATCGTTGACATTGTTTCAGATACTAGTCAAGGTTGCATAATCTAGGCTATCTCGTATTTACATGAACAAGAGAGGCTTTTTATCATATTTTTCCATCATTTTCCATATTTTTTCATTCCACAGTTACAAACGTAAAAATTGTTTGAAATTCAACATAAATCTTTTAGAACTTATTTGTAGTTTATTTAAAGTTTTTAAATACTAGTACTTATATTGACAAAAATTTGTAATCATTTGAAAATAACATTATTTTTTGAAGTTTAAAAGCTATTCTAAATAATAACCCAGCAACACCATAACTCATATTCATAAATTGTTAAACTCGTTGCTTGTATAAAAGTGCTGCACTCGCCAAGTAAGCAAATTCCGCGTGCTGAAAATTGCCTTCTTGCAGGTTTCGGCGGAAACGTGGTGCGCGAAGAGGTGCGGGCGAAGGCCAAATGGTTTGTCACCGATTTCCAAGAGCTGATCAACGCACTGGATTGAAAAAAAAATCTGTTATCTGCATCAGTCTTTTTGATTCGCGCCCCCCTTTCCAACTTTCTGTGATCAATGTCAACCTTTCGAGCAACCTTTTCTCAACTTTTATAGAAGATGCAATAATCAACCCTTATCTTTGACTTCCAAAGGAATAATATGTGTTCATCAGTCTTGTAGAACAAACAATGTTGATTAAACATTTATGTAGTAAACTGAAACTCTTGCATATCTCGCAGAAATATATTGATGTTTACAGAATGAATTAATCAAGTGAAAATGCATAATGGGATTAATTTTGCAATCTCAAATTTAATATATTTTATTGGAAATTATTTTCAACGTGGGCATGGAATTTTTAATTCCAGTCTGTTTCACCCCTTCAAAATCAAGAAAAGATTGACGAATTTTGCATTTTGAGTTAAATGAGGAAATTTTAATTTTATTTATGACACTCCACTTTTGTAAGAACAAAAGGCTGGTGCCTCACAGTATTTCTTCAACACTACTTGCGTAATCCATTTATCCCTTCAGTTTAGAGCAAACCGCAATGAGGTCATAATTTTTAGCAACGTCTGGAATATTTACATTGTGCTTTTATTGTACGGTGTTAACGGTGTCGTACGTTGTTGCTCAAATCAACTTATTAGTAGAGTATTTAAAAATCTGTATATGAATTATCAAACATATTATGCAGATTCATCCGAACCTGATAATCTCTAGTGGGAACATTTACAGTGCATTTATATTTTAAAATGTGACTGAGTATGTGTGATAGAAATCATGGAATAATAAGCCTTCAAAATAAAGATTCTAGCACGGCAGGTGCACGGTTATATTATTTTTAAGAGTCTCCAAATTAATATTTTGTTAAGTTTTCACGCGTTTTTTTCCCTCTTGATATTCGGCTGTTTTTAATATTTTGGGCTAGGAGACTGAGATAATGTGTTTCATAAAAGATCAACAGTCACATATTTTAATATACTCCTATCTACCGTAAATAAATTTGACCAAGAACCTTTAGAAAATGAAAAAAAAACATTTAATGCGGGAAATCTTAATATGAGACGAAAGGGCAATCAGTTGTAGCAACCAAGGACACGAGCTGTCTGCTCTCATAATTCTAGACGGCACACACAATCTGCTTTCTCAGCAAATTCTCACTCTCTCGCTTACTAGATCTGATGTCTCATTGCAAATGCAATCAACACAACAACTTGCGTCATTATACTCTCCCATTGTCTATTTTCGTGTCTTCTACAGTTGTAAACGAAGAAAGTAAGAAAAATCGCAATATGTTAAAAAACGAAAAAATAAAAATCGATGTAATCCGCTAAAATGTGTGTCACTCACTCACTCAACTCTGTTCCAATCGGCTTTCAAAGCCAATGCCATCCAAAGAATTGCATCATAATAAGGATAAAAGGGCACTTGCAGCGCTTCCCAGCAAGAAATGAGCCGCGCGCTCGTAATATGGAGCAGACAAAGGTGGGGTTTTTATGAAGAAAGGTGCAGTCGTTTTTCACGCCTTGCAATCAGTCGGCTGTTGATTCGAAGAGCGGGTACGTGTGCTACTCTTTTTACCTACGTGCACGCGGAAAGCCAATGTCAAAAGGTGCGTTTGCTATATTGAGTGCCAGCGTTTGAAAATAAACGCCTCCTTCGTCCGCTTGCTGCTAATTCTTTCACTCGCGCTGCCAAGTTTTTTATTTTATTTTCTCCATCGTCCTTCTCGGAACGAAAGATTTTTGACTCGCTCGGAATGCTTTGCTCGAGTTTCGTCATCTCTCTACTTTACGTTTTGCGCTCTTGGTGCTAGTGTCCCAGTTAAATTTCCGTCGTGAACAATGCCAAGGGTAAATCTGTTTGCGTGCTGCGAATCCGAGCGCCCCAATGCATCATCCCGCTGCCAAAATTAGCGCGTATATATTCTGCTTTTTGGCTACTTCACTAATTTTAGCTTGCGATTTCGGATGCTCTCGCGGCTACCGGCGAGATTTATTTGCGGTTCAATTAATTTGACCGCTCAGCGTTTGTGAGGATTTGTTGCCTACTCGTCTGAGTGGGCACATTTTTCAAAGCAAAACGCGTTTCAATGAACTTTTTATTTTGCTACACCAAAAATGTTTTGCTGCTATTTTTCTTCCATTCAAAAGCTTCGCAAGCTAGTTTGTAGCTCTAGTTTTCTAGAATTTCCCCATTCTATAAAATATAAATTTTGGCAAATTTCTTTTTCGATCAGCTTCGCTGAAAACGATTTATATTTCTGTAGTTATGCAACATGCTCGTTACGTAAGTTGCACGGGTTGCATACTCGATATTCATTAGGGTTCTTTAATTCACTTTGCAAATTTTTTTTATCGTTATTCAAAGGAGCAATATCATTAAAGCTAACGAAACAATGAATGTATTTTTTTTTTATTCAGAAGTGAGCATGAGGAATCTTTCATAGAGTAAAAGAAAAATGGGTTTATTGAATACAATTCCTGGCCCAAATTATGTTAAAGGAAAACAATAACCTCAATCATTTTCGTTTGCATTCTGCTATCGTATTCTACGAACAAGAAAATACTGAACGAGCCAAAAATGTTAAAAAAAACTTTTTTTTTTCGTTTTTTTTTTCAAATTTTATTTTCTTGTTCAACAGCATTAAAGTCTCAGACCATAATCATCAAAACTGACAGAGCCATATTTTGATATTAAAATTTTTGATAAAAACCTAATCTGGATGTTTCGTTATGACCTCGTTAAATAACTATTGCTTCATGTATTTACTTCTTTGCAAGAATCTCTGCAAATTAAGATTACTGGGGCAAACTAAAAAATAAAAAATTGCCCCAGAACTTTTGAATGTTTGGAATCTGCAAAATGTTTAGAGGCTCGCGGAAATCGGCTAAACGTAACCTGAAATCCTACTTGGCAGGCGTAAGAGCCAAAATTACAACGTTGTCCGCAGCCCCGTGTGTTTACACCACCGGGCGCCGCGGCGTGTGTGTATTCTCGAGTGCAAACGTCTGTCGTTGGCTCACTGCTCGCGAGAACACACACACCTCCAATCGTGTCCCACCCGCTTCACCGACCAAGTACTCACTTGATATTAGCTCATTATTAAAAGAACTTCAATTGTTTCGCAAAATAGGTTCGTCGAAGAAATCAGCAGCAACGGCTAACGATCCTCCGCTCGACTGCTTTGTGCAATTCAGACACCCGAACTCAAGTTTAAAGTGACATTATTAGTGACATTTGCTAGTGAACTTGCTCGATCTATAATCGACCGAAAGAAAAGTGAATTTTCGATCATGGCATCAATAAAGGTAAGACAATTGGTATGTTTCATTATGCGGTGTTATTTATAATTTTTTAAATTTTAAACGGTGAAATTTATTTCTGAATTAAAATAGAGTTTTAAGAAAAGCAGAAATTTAGAATAGAAGAAGCATGCAATAAGGACCCTTAAAATCTTGAGCTGAGTTTACGCAAGGCAAATTCCAAGCTTTCCAGGATTTTATTTTTAGAAAACGCGTTGTCGTCGGTTGTGGCACGCGATATGTGATATTTTCAGCACAATATTCTTCAGGCGCCTGTGTTTTGGTACTTCAATTTATGTGGCGTCTCCAGAAATAACCTGCCTCAAGAGGGTATTTGGTCAATTTTTAAGAGTTATAAAATATATTCAGTCCTATTTTCTGACCCACTTTCATAAAAAAAACTTTTGAGTTTGGTTTAAATGAATACTTTCAGTACTTTCATTAAACATATTGTTGGTTGCGAGTAAATAAAAAATAAACTTAGATCCTCACTTTACATTTTCATTACATAAAAAAGCCGCAAGCTTTTACACCCGGGTTGTCAAATTAAATACTAATTACGTTAAATTCGTTAAAATCGATTCGTATTGATACTTTTTATGTTATATATACCTTCGGTGTTTAATAAGTATTCTATTACATTAAAATCGATTTCCAAATCCAATAAAATTTCCTGCAAATGGCTCTAATCCAAACACGCAATGTTGACAACTGACAAGCGAATAATACTTGACCTTGTATAGCCGTAATTTTTTCATGTCGACCGTCGATTTTGTCAATATAATTACGTGACGACGTGTAAAATATTATGGCCTCAAGTAGACTAAAGTACTGTCCAATGTTCACAATACCAATTAAAAATTTCCTTTTATAATGATATTCAAAGAAAGAATTTTGTCATTCACGACGTTTATTAAAATTTAGCTATAAATTAAAAGTTTGTCAAAAATTAACCATTTTTAATATTAAAGGATATAAAAGCGCCAATGGCCAGTACAGAGAGCGCCTTCTTCTGGTCAGGATCTGATGAAGAGCTGGACTGTTCGGTGCGCATCCCTCTGAGCGACCCTGATTTTTTCCCTTCGCCAAAGAAGCAGAAAGAAATGCTTGCGTCGGCCAAGTACAAATCGCAGTCAAACTCCGAAGATGACAGCTTTGCCGGCTCTGAGGACAGCAGGACTGACGAGCGAGGTGGCTGGGGCAACAAGCTCGACTTCCTCTTTTCCTGCATCAGCGTCTCAGTCGGTCTTGGCAACGTCTGGCGCTTTCCTTACCTCTGCTACAAGAACGGTGGAGGTTCGCATAAACATTTTTTTCTGCATTATTTTATTTTTCTTTTCCCTCTTGGGAATTCATAAAAATTAGCTTGTTCTGATAAACTAAAAGTAAATATGGTATACATAAATATAATGAATTAAAATGAGAAAAATTCAAAGAAATTGGCAAGAATCAAGTCAGTAAATAAAGCCAATTAAAAAAGTTTCTTAAATTTTCCCTCCACATAGAATTGGCGAGCATTTAAAATAATCTCTATAAAACTTTTGGCCACCTTTGAACGATTTTAATCAGTGCGTTAATCACGGCCGATTCACGTGCCCATCTTAATTGTCATGCGGGGCGCTACGGGGCCTCTACAGGGGGCTTTCTCAAACTGCGTCTTTTGCGCCCGGCGGAGACGACAAGCATTTTGGCAGAGAGCTGTTGAGTATTTCGAGACGGCCGCCGCAAAAGGCCTTTTTTAACGCAGAGCGCGATTTTTTTATTTTGATTATTCGCTCTCTTGTCACATGCGCCAGAAAAAAAGAGCCTCTGTGTTTTTGATTATTTATTTGCCTGTTTACTTTCTTTGTGTGTGCGTTTAATTGGGCACTGGGAAATTCAAACAAAGTAAGTGCGCGATCAGAGGCAACTTTGTGCTGGTGCTTTTTATTAATGCACTTTTGTTGTTAATTAGAGATTACAAAATACAAATACATGTTGCCAAGCGGTTGTTGACAATTTTTATTTGTACAAAAACATCCTTGAAGTCTAAATAAACAAAAATTGTTACCTTTGGATTATTTGTATGCATGTTTTTTTTTATCAAAAATATTTGCGTGATTAAAATTTAAAAAGTAAGAATGCTCTGTAGAATCAAAAGTTTATAAATACATGTTATATAAACGACAGAGACAATAGAGTGCAGTTGGCGCAGCTCAGTTCTTTAATAAGTTTGATCCAAGTTGTAATGGTCCGTTTTCGCGCGCGTCATTAGTTGGAGATTGCAAAAGCGAGTGCTGCGCGAGCCAATTTAAAGATCGCAGCCGTATGCCAAAAGGTTTAAATAAACCGGCGTTTTGAAGGTTTCGACCTCCCGTGAGGATTTTCAAAGGCACTGGCAGCCAAAAAAAATAAAATAAAATAAATAAAACAATTCAACACTGCACACAAAGTAACATTGTTTATGCTTAACCCTTTTAGTTGTTTTCCACTCATGCTTTGCACAACAAAAAATCGGGCGCGACTTTGCAGTTTACCGTATACCAAATTATGTACGCAAAATAAAAACTTTGACCCTAATAGGTTTTTTAGATTTTATAAAAAAAAAAAATAAAAAAAAATATGCAAAGCGACAAATCAATTTGACGTCAATTTGATAGTTGGTATTTTTAAAAATTTATAGGAAAGTGACAATCATTGCTTGCTAACTTTTTTTTAACCTAAGGCTGCAGGACTAAAAATTTTAATTTGTTAGCCCAAGACGTCAATGAAGTCGGTATTTTTAAAAATTTATATACCTTTTTTCTTCTATTAAAATTTGAAAAAAAAAAACACTAATAACTAAGGTGCTACTATATTTTTATGAGATTCCATTTTTCTCGCCTGTTATGATTATTATTATTTTATTTAACACTCTGTAAGGTTCACATTGAAATTTAATCATCAGTGATCGGTTGTTGCAATTTATTTAATTTTTGTTTCAAAATATTTCAGGAGCTTTTCTAGTGACCTATGGCATTGCTATGATGCTCTGCGGCATACCACTCTTCTTCCAGGAAGTAGCAATTGGCCAGTACCTTGGCTCTGGTGGCATGTCTTTGGTCAGCACTCTATGTCCCATTTTAGGAGGTGAGTAAATGCGTCGTAAATTACTTATACGCGTTATTTTTTTTTTATCAAGAGGCTTATAGAGACCCCGTGCTAAGCTAAGTCTTAATGCATTTTGTCGTGTCAGGTGCTGGCTACGCAACTATGACGATCGTTTTCCTGCTCGACGTCTACTACTGTATAATCATCGCGTGGACGTTGTTTTACTTGATAAACACATTTACTATGTTGCCCGACCTGCCCTGGCAGCACTGTGGTTAGTCTCCTTGGAATATCAAAGGCTAATAAAAAAGACATCAACATTTTTTGTGTTATTTTAGGAAATTGGTGGAACTCTGAAAAATGCTACGAAGGCTCGGAGAACCACACGGCCAGTGAGATTATTCGCAGCCAATTGAATCAAACCAGCACCCCAGTGGAGGAGTTTTGGGAGTGAGTTTAAAATGAATATAACAGGAAAATTGTTTTATGCAAATCGCTCAACATGGACACTGAGCGGGTTGCATAAGCAGATTATTTCAGGCGTTGTACTAATTTGAGACACTAAATTTTAGAAAACGTGTTCTTATGATAACCGATGGCATCCATGATCTTGGTGGAATGCAGTGGGAGCTTTTTGGCTGTCTGGTCCTGGGCTGGCTGCTCGTTTACTTCATTATATGGAAAGGCTTGCATCAAAGTGGAAAGGTAGATACTAAAAAGAAAACTCAAATTCATTTTGAATTTGATTATAATACTTTTTCTTGATCATTAGATCATCTGGTTCTCTGCACTGTTTCCATACGTGATCATGATCATTCTGTTGGTGCGTGCGGTGACCTTGCAAGGTGCCCTTAACGGACTTTCGTACTTCATTAAACCTGATTGGAGCAAGTTGACAAGTTCGGGCGCTTGGATTGACGGCGCCACACAGATTTTCTTTGGCTACAGCATCGGTGTTGGCACGCTGCCGGCGCTCGGCTCGTTCAACAAGTTTCATCATAACTGCTACAAGTGAGTGCATGCACGCAACAGTTGCATCTTCCTGGCAACCATGCCGGAAACTCTTGAAGCGCAGCTTCGTTTTAATTTTGAAATGCATTTTAATTAAACAAAAGATTTTTTGAATTTAATTAATTATTTTTCAAAGGGACGCAATCATCACTTGTGTAATCAACACGCTGACATGCTTGCTGGCTGGTTGCATTGTTTTCTCAATCCTGGGCTACATCGCATTTGTGCAGGATGCTGAGGTTGGGGACGTCGTCAAGAGTGGCCCAGGTCTAGTTTTCCTCACATACCCTGAAGTTGTTCTTAAACTGCCTGGTTCTGTTGCCTGGGCCACAATCTTCTTTGTCATGCTGGCGGTGAGTATTTTGTGATATTGAAATATAAACATAATATAATGGCATTTTTTTTCTGACGTTAAAAATAACTTTTTTTCTATATTTCTGACATATTTCAATTATGTGCAGATTCTTGGAATTGACAGTGAGTTCTGTAACGTAGAGGCCTTCATCACTGGTGTTGTGGATCACTTCTCCACCTACCTTCGTCCCATTCGACGCAAGTTCACGCTTGGCGTTTGCTTGCTGATGCTCGCCCTTGGCACCCCTATGGTTACCAAGGTAAGAATGGCATTTGTGAGATACAGTATATGTTTTATTTAAAAAGCGTTTCATTGTCCTTCTCAGGGTGGCGCCTACGTGTTCCAACTGATGGACTTTTACTCAGCGAGTGGAATTTCCCTTTTGTGGGTTTGCTTTTTCCAGACAATTGCAATCTCTTGGTTCTTTGGCGCCGACCGCTTCTGTGACTGCATTGAGGAAATGATCGGCTTCCGTCCAGGCATGTTCTGGACAGTCTGCTGGGTTTATCTTGCTCCCGCGTCCATGTTGGTGAGAAAATTCCAACCCAATAATTTAGAATAGAGAACTGACGAGTTTTTAAATTTTCCAGAGCATTTTCTTATTCTACTGCGCTCAGTATGTTCCTGTAACTTACGGCGCTAGCTACGAGTATCCTGACTGGGCCGAGGTTATTGGACTGTGCTTGTGTTTCTCTTCCATGATCTGGATACCTGCCTATGCCATTTACTATGTTCTGTGTATGCCCGGGACAATAATGGAGGTAAAACGTTTTCCTATAAATGAAAATATTTAAAATCCCTTAAAATGCTAACTTGTTAAAAATTTTAGAACATCAAAGCTGGTTTCAAACCAACTGTGAATAAAGCTTCACCATCATCAATGACGGCATCAAAAGCGGCGCCAGGTGCTGACTCTCTGAGACCACCCCACCAGATACCTGTGTCCGAGAGCAAAGCTGTGCTTATCACGCATCAATCAGGTCGGCACCAATCGTCATTTTGACCAATGCAGTTAATTTTCATCTATTTAACTAACATTATTATATCACCCTTGCCGTCGCAGGGGGAAGAGCTCAGGAATAACCGGTCACACCGTAGCTACTTAAATTAAGGTTGTATTGTACGAGTGTATTTATTTTTAAGTGAGCAGATTTTTGAGAGAAGCTTTTAATTTAATCATTGCTGCAGTCATATTTTTGTACCAAAATGCACAATTTTGTTTGTTTGTCTACCAGTCGCGTTTCCTATTTGACAGGAAATCCGACAATGAAAAAGAGAGTTTGTAATGACTACCCATTATGAACAAGTTTTAGATGAGGAGGATCAGAGAACGCTTTTGCTTACGTTTATTAGAATAGATAAATTCCATATTATTTTAATGTTGCGTGCAATAGCACCAATTTAAAGGGCTGTTGTTGGTTTGGATTTGAGAAATCCAAAACTGCAGATTTATATAATTGGGTTTGGTAATATAAGAAAGGAGTAAGTTGAAAATTTAATTGAAAGATGGAATTTTTGATATTTGGATAATTTTATTAATGACGATTATTAAATTTATTACCAATCCCAAATAATTAATTTATAAACTTACTCTAATTGCAAATTATAATATATTTAAGTATTGTGATCTTCGTAGGTGTAAAGTTATTGTTACATTATTAACATAATTAAACTAGATTGAGAAATCACTTTGGAGACAAGTATTATTTGAAATTTTGGATTCAAGAACTTTATTTGCTGTTGGAGGTAAACACACGATATGACTGTTTCGTTAGAGAAATATAATGGTTTATTTGATGTACAAACTACATTTGAACACTACAATGTGTTGGTTTTAAAAAAAAAAACCATAACACAAAGAGCCACAAAAGGAGATACAATATCATGGCACTTTCACCTTTCTTGCAATAAAACTGGAAATCAAAAAGACGATACAAAAAACATGATTAAAAAAATCATATATGTACTACTTTTGTAACGAGAGAAATCAAAATAAAGTTTCTGTTACAAAATACAAGTTTTAACAAATATTCATTATAAATTGTTATCTCCATAAGTTATACTTTAGCATTCAATTAAAAATATTTTGTACTGCTTTGTACATTATTCATTACTGCAATGATTTCATATATATTTAAGTCCCTGGAGTAATAGGCTGTGGACAAAAGAGATCTAAAAATCTCAGCCATATGGGTAGATTCATTTGGCTTAGAGAAGCAGTGCGGCTGAGAGAGCGACCAGCATGGCAAGGGGCACTGCGTGCGTGGCTGCGGGCACTGACGAGCTGCTCCACGGTTCCACTGGGTGCCTGCGGACAAAAGGGGAAAATAAGCGCAGAAAACCAGTTTGACCTGTGGAGACTCCACATCTGCTCCATGCAAATTTTTGCTTAAATTATTCATGATTGCATAAGCAATTAGGACTTTCTACGTCATCGGCATCGCTAAAGAGAAGCAAGCTCCAGTCAAAAATAAAGGTGCAGCTTTTTTTTTTGCAAATAATAACTTAAAGAGCAACTTTTTTGCCAAATCAAAAAATAATATTTTGATATAGGTTTTTTCAATAGCTAGATACCCTTTTTTTCATTAATATATTTTTATTGCTTGTATTTAATTCTACTAAAAAGCATTATATCGGAGTGAATTAAAATTCTTCAGACGAGGAATTTTATTTTACTGGACGAAGAAAAAAAAATGGATTTTTACTGGAGTCCGACGACGCCGCACGCAAGTCTGCCTCCAGCGTTGCCGGTGGCTTTGCTGCCCTTTTCGAGTTCACCAATGCCCTTGCCGAGGTCGTCTTCGCCTTCGTGCACAACGACGGCGCGTCCCAAGATGTTGTTTTCTCCCTCAAGCGATATCATTGAATCTAGGATGCGGATAACCGCAATTCCATTTTCATCGGAGCGGATGTTGCCCAAGTCTCCAATATGACGCTCCCTGTCGTTGGGGCCGCCATGCACCTTCTGCAAGTAAAGATAAAAATAATAATAAAAAAATTGTTTCATTTTGGTTTCAAAATTCCTTAAATTATCTCACACTTAAAGAATATTTTTTCATCGATGCGCATAATATATTTTTTTTTATAATAATTACCCTCTGAGGGTTGAAGTGTCCACCAGTACTCAAGCAGCCCTTGGTGCTGATGTCGCCTTTTTCGTGAATATGGAAGCCGTGCAAGGCGTTCACCTTCAGGCCAGTGATGACTCCCTCGACCAACACAGGCTCGCCAGGTTTGGACTGTGAGAAGGACACGCTACCATTCACAGCATAGCCCTGCGCCGTCGGCGGATTCACCACCAAGGCAATGGCACGCCGCTCCTGCAAAAAATTTATTTTTGTAGCTCTCTGGGAATCTAGATTATTTGGAATTAGAATTTCAACGATTTGGATAAAATATTTCCACCGTGGACAAAATACCTATTGCGCGCGCCTGGCGCTTTTTACTTCGCTTACCTGTGCAAAAGCGGTAGCCAACAGCATCGCGAAGGTGGCAAGTGTCGAAATTCCAATCATCTTGAGCTGGAAAACAGTCAGAATTTTTAAGAAAGCTTCCATGAATGTTTTTATTGTTTGGAACTTCAAGCGCGCAGAGACGAACAGTGCCTGAGGCGCTTTTCGAAATTTCTTGGATTGGGCCCGCCAAGCGCAAATATAGAACTACTTTCTCCAATTAATTTTTGAGCTCGAAGCCGCGTCATGCAAAAAAATGAGAAAAATAATACAGGCTTATCCTGACTGAAGATCCATCAAAATTGCCATCTTCGCCTTACCTTAGTAAATATTTTTGAAAATGATTGAATCATATTCAAATCTTTTTAACAAAATTATTTTTATAATTTTTAATTTTTTTTTTTTTACAAAAATTAATCGAGAATTTTTAATTGAATCGTAGAACATATACTGATTGAGGCCTGTAATGTATTGAAAAATTTGATTGTTTGTTTAAAAATAAATTAAAAACGTGTTTAAAAAATTAAATAAGAAAACCTTCGAGAGGCTTCTAAAACTCACTCGTTCTAGGCTGCCTGCGCTTTTTCTGTTCTCAGTATAATAATCTATCTTTCAACGGCGGCAAGCAAACGTCAACTAATATTTTAGCCCGCATGTCAATTCTTTATAAAAGCGTTGTAAGCTCAAAATTACTCGATTAATCAAAAAGCACGATTAACAAAAACGAGCCTCGTGCTTTTTCGATTCTAGTTAAAAATTGGGCCGAACATTAAAGAAATTATTGTAGTAGCGCACAATTTCACATATAGTTTATGCCACCAATTAGTTACCTTCAATGCACGCCGACGCTTGTAGAAAGATGCTTCTCCGCTTGTGACGCGGCTTGCTAAGAAGGTCGTTTGGTGCACACTGAAAGGAGCACCAAAGCCGACGAGGAGTCTCTCGTCAGTTGGAGGGGCAGCGGCTGCACCTGCGCTCAGAGCGCCCCTGACCTCCACAGGTGCGCATCAAAAGCACTGCCTTGCTTATTCATGCTTTCATTCAAAATCTAATTCAAATGCGCCGTATTATATATGCTTATAATTGGCGCGAGAAAATCGACCTATTCTGGTTTGACACGCATATATTTTTACACTCGCGTATAATTTCAGATCGTTATCTTTCCGCCGTGAGTTGGGTTTGTACACAATTGGATAATATGATGAAGGCCATTTACTAAAAGGCGCGCGGTGGAATAAAAGATTTGGATCATAAAATTTGGAATTTTTTTATATGCCCACCTGTTAATTGATTTAATCATGATATGAAATTCTAATAATTTTAGAAATTTAAGTCGCTCAAACACAGATAGAAAGTTGATTTTTCCCTTGTATTCTTAAATTTTTATTTATATGTTAATAAATTTATTAAATAAGAATGAGGGTTAAAAAAAGCATATTGCTTTAGTATTATGCATATAAATACTGCCGTGAATGGCCGTGAAGTTAAAGAATTAAAAAAATCACATGTAAAATATTGGGCTCTTGCCAAATTTACTAAAAACAAAATAACTCGCAAGCAGTGAGCACCTTCAAATGCAAGCAAGGCAAGGTCAAATTCTTCACGAATATTGGATCTCGTTATCCCTAATATTTTCCTTCATAGAAGCACAGCAAAAAATTAACCGTGGAGTGAATGATAAATTTTAAATTTACAGTTAACTGGAAATATATCACTTATTATAATTTATTAGTTATTTGAACAGTTAATTGTAATAAAATTCAAATTTAATACCTTCAGGTTAAATGATAACATTGTTTATTTTGGTAAATTTTCTTTTAAATTACATTTCACAATATGCATCTTGCACAATCAATATTAAAATTAACAAAATTTTCTTTTACAATTATACTGATGGCGATGGAATAAGGTGCGGTTTATACATTGAACATAATGAATGTTATCACATTTTTAGTAGAGAACAATCCAAAAAAATTATGTCTTGCATGCAGATCTGCACGAGGCAGCAGCATCATCAACGAAATAATTTTTTTCAAGCAAATAAAAGTAAAAATTTATAATTTTTTTTTAAATATTTTGTAATCTCTACTTTCTGGTGTGTCTGTTTATATAAAAATCCTATTACTGGTATTTTCTTAAACAATTAGCAAATATCGTTCTCGCAACCTCATACTGAATTGTCCAGTTTGTAAAAAAACATTTTGCAATCAACATGTAAAAATTGCGGCGAGATAAAATTTCAGAGACTATAATATATACAAAACAACTTTGATAAATCAGAAACTAATAAAATCAGTTCGCAACCTGTCGGCTAAATCGAAAATGCCAATACACGGCCTTGGGAGAAAATAAATTATTTTCTAGGACAGGTGCTGTGGAGCAAGTGAAGGCGAATGAATGTGACTTGCAGTGAATGAAATTAGTCACAACACACTTGGAATGAAAAAAAATCATCAGACTGACATAAGCAACAGCTCACAACTTATGATCTGGCTATCACAGGGCAACTCTAGGAGTGCTTCGTCAGGCTATCACCAACGGTTCATCATCTGAGAAGCCAGTGATCACGGGCGCATCGTCTTCATCTGCAAAGAGAATCATATAATTTAAAAAAATAAAACCTTTTTTCCTAAATATTACCCAATCCCTCACCACCAGTGAAGGTGGCTGCACCAGATCTGGTGTTGTAGTGGCTGTTGGCAAATGAGGTGAAGCTGTGCTGAAGCCTCTGGTGGCGGTAGATGTAACAGCCAAGGGCAGACGCCAGGCCAACGATGACTAAAATCACGGGCACTACCACCGAAACGACATGGGTTGGGGTGATGAGTTCACTCCACGAAGCTATGAGAAAGTTCAGTTTTGAACAAAATGTTTGAAATTGAGCCCTTACGTTGACTGGTCTCCATGGTGTTGATTTCGGAGAGTAGCGAGTAGTAACCTTTAGAGGTGCGCAAGCGAACGGCCACAGAGTAGGCGGTGCCACTGTCCGTCTCATTCAAGACAAACGGGGGACTGGTGACGATAAACTTCCTGGCCTTGTCTAGGCCCTGCCATGAACCTTTGGTGATTAGGACTTCATAAACGTAGCTAAAAGGTATAATATTAGAGAAATAATATAAAATTGATAATAGTTGATAGAAATACATACTTGTCCATAGAAACTTCTTTTGGCATTTCCTTGTTCTGCCAGTATATGATCAAACTTCCATTCTTTTCCGGAAGCACTTGCAGCTGATGCGGAGATGGAATCGGAATGCTGTGCACAACTCGAGCACTTTTACGGGCATCTGGAACGGTAGTAGAAACTTGAATGCTGTACTCGGCACCGTAGGCCCCGTCGAACGGCACAGAAAAAGATGAGTCTGTGGTCTCGGCCATCTTCTTAACAAACATCACCTTGGTTGTGATTTCCTCAAAGTAAATCTACAAATTGGGATCTCAGATTTGTTTTTGTTTTAGAGATTCCTTAAATTACCATGTAACCAATTGGAGTCTGAATGGTTTCGCAAGAGGCGCTCCACGTCACATTGAGGGAAGTCAACTTGACAGGGTCTCGCACTGTACGCAGATTTTTAGGCGCTGCACTGGGATTGTATTGTGTGATGAGGTTGATCTGCTTTCCAGACATAGGACCTGCACCGATAGGACCAACGATTCCCACATCAAATATATAAGACTCGCAGGCTTCGAGTGACTTGATGGACACGGCAAGTTCCGAAGTTGTAACAAGAGGCCCTAAAAATACACATTATTATCTGATCTCTTCATACTGCAAATATTGACTCACTTTGCATTAGCTGGTTCATGTCAGTGGCATAATAAACTCCATAGTGCCACTTGATCTTCCTAGGGTCTTTTGGCAAGTCCCAGTTCATTTTGACCGTGGTGCCTTGAAGTTTAACCACTTCTGCAGATATGTTTGGCACCACTGGCAGCTCATCACCTACAATTAGGAAATAACAAAGTTAGTTCAATATTGCATATTAATTTAAGTTTTGTTTCCATTACCTTGAGTAGTGGCAATCACTTGGGCGCCTCTTCCAGAAAACCCTTTCCGATAGCCGCTAACTTGGAAAGTGTACGTGGCTCCAGGTGCAAGCATGTTAAATGTCATATTTGTATCCACCGAAATTCTTGTGTCCAGCACTGCATAGGAAGGCTTTCCCTTGGCCGTGATATAATAGCCCTCAACTCCTTGAACAGCCTTCCATGATAGAGATACCGAATTGTTGGCCACGCTAGTGACTTTCAGCTCCTCGATTCCGTCAACAAAAGCATCCCCATCAAATCGATGAGAGGCAATCTGTGATATTTTGCTCATTTCTCTTCCATTCCTAGATGTCATCTATAAAAAATGGCATTGGTTATTTTGAAATTCCTTTTTTTTCTTCAAAGACAGTAAGATTTACCCAGAATGAGTAATTTTGGCCAAACTCAAAATCCATTCGAACCGTGTAGTAATTCTGCTTGGCACCCAGCACTTGCTGGACAGGAGGGTAAGGTGGAGACATGAAGAGTATGTAATTGATGATTATGCCATTAGCCCTGGTCGGTGGTTCCCACCTGACTTCCATTTCTCGGGCACTCTTTTGGTTCAGTGAAATATTCCAAGGTGGGGATGGTTCTTTAATTTAATTAAAAATTTCAATAATTATCATCAATTATCATTAATATGGAGAGACAATTACCTCCTTCTGCTGTTCTGGCCGTAACATATTTAGCAGGTGGGAAAGCATCAGGCGAGCCTTTGATTCTGACATAAACCGTCAGATTGTAAAGTTGGTAAGGCTTCAGGCCGTCGATCAAAACCTGGAAGGTGTTGCTGTCCACCCACTTGGAGTAGTTGGTCCACTGAGCGCCGTTTGCAACTTCTGAGTAACTTGGCAAAAACTCAAGCTTTCCGTTTGAAGGCTTTTGAATCCACCAGTAAAGCAAAATGCTGTCACTGGCAACACTCCGCTCGTCGTAACCCATCTGAACGACTTGGTAAACCTTGGAGCTGTTATGGCCGCACACAGATTCATCTTGTTCGTCATAGCAATCAATGTGGCCATCACACATTTTACTCAAGGGCAAACAGATGCTGCCACTATCACACGAGAAAAAGCCTGGTCCACACTTTGAGTCGTCTGGATCTGAATTTTCATTTAAAAATAAAATACGTTATTTAAACAGAAAAAAATCGGTAAGATCTTACGGCTGTCTGGTTTGAAGTCGCAGCCAAGTTCATCAGACCCATCAATACAGTCTTTTTTGCCGTTACAGATCAGGGTCATATTCACGCAAGAACCGTCAAGCCTGCATGTAAACTGGTCCGGTCTGATGTGCAAAAAATATAATATAGACGATAAAATAATTATAACAAATATTTTTTAAAAAGGCCGAAAAAAGCACCTGCAAGTGTGGATGGCGCCACAGTGCTCTTCGTCCTCCCCTTGTGGACAGTCGTTGACTCCATCACAAACCCACGTTTCCATGATGCATAACCCATTATAGCAGCGGAAGTGATTTTCTGGGCATGTGACCGAGGTTGTACTTGGCGTTGGTGGGGCAGTTGTTGTTGAAACTTTGTGGTTCTCGTTATTGCAGTCTACTTCATCACTGTTGTCTCCACAATCATTTACAGAATCACACTTCCACCAAGAGGGAATGCAGTTTTTATTCTTGCACCTAAACTGCCATGAACTACAGAAGCCCTAAAATAAAAATCATCAATGATTTTCCTTGATCAATATTGTTTTTTAGTGCATTACCAATGGTAACGGAGATGGTGTGGTTGTGGTCGAGATCTTTCCGCTGCAGTTTTTCTCGTCCAACCCATCTGGACAGTCTTTGTCACCATCACAAACCCAAGATTTAAAGATGCATTGGTCATTTCCACACTAAAATTATGATTATTAGTTATTATTTATAATATAGAAATATTAAACATTAGTTAACCTTGAACTGCCAGCTCTCACAAGAAGTATTTTTGCAATTAATCTCATCAGAGTGATCTTCACAGTCAGAGTCTCCATCACACCTCCAGGTAAGAGGAATGCACTGAGTTGTACTCCCACCACATCTAAACTCAGTGGCTGTAAATAAAAAAGGATCAATACTATCAACAAATACTGTAAATTTTAAATAATAAATTTATGCAAATGTATTTTGAGCTCTTCAATTAGTCCCATGTAACAAAATAAGAAACTTACGTCCACAGGTGACTGGTTTGACCGAGGGACAATTTTTCTCATCTGATCCATCTCTGCAGTCATCCTCAAGGTCGCAAACCCATTTTTCGTTGATGCATCTGCCATTGTTGCATCTGAACTGGTCTTTTGTACAGTTTGTATAGGCTGTAGAAAAATTGCTGAAGCATAGTATAAATTTGAGAGCTAAAACTTACTGCATGCTTCTTCATCACTTCCATCTTCACAATCCATATCAAAATCACACCTCCAGAAAGAGGGAATGCACTTGCCACTCTTTTTGCACTGGAAGTGGTTATTCTGGCAAGTAGTTTCGCCGCACATCTCCTAAGATGACAATGTATTATTATATCAACCCAAACATTTTAACACAAACCTCATCAGAATTATCAGCGCAATCATTATCTCCATCACATCTCCACAGCTTTGGAATGCAATTTCCTGACTTGCATCTGAAGTAATCGCTTGCACACGTGTTTGCGACTGAAATAATATTTTTAGAGATAACTTCCTAAGTTATTTTGCGCAACAAAACATACCAGAGGGGCAGGTTCCATTGACTAGTGGCTTCTGCATTGATGGACACAAACACTCATTCCCGCTTTGCACTAAAGCGTCTGGGCACAAGCATTTGAAGGAGCCCTGTGGCATCCCAACACAAATGTGGCTGCATGAAGTCCTGTTAGAGCAGGCATTGGAACCTTCCTGCATGCTGTGTGCAAATACTTTGAGATCCATCACATTCGGCAAGTCAGCGGCTAGAACTGTTATTCCAGCGCCATGGTCTTTGTCAGCCATGAATATCGAGCTTCGCTTCCAATCAGTCCAGTACATAGTGTCTTTAAAGACAGCAATAGCAAATGGATGTTCAATAAATCCCTGAAGGGAATTTTTCTTATTAATATTTATAACAAAAAAAAAAAAAAAATAATATTTAAATTACGGAATTCATGATGATTTTCCTAAATTTCTTGCCATCAAGATCAGACGATGCAATATAATCGAATTTAGCATCAACCCAGTAGATTCTCTCTGCAATGTAATCTATGGTGATTCCGTTTGGCCAGTGAACAGTGGTTTTGGTGAAAAGGTGTTTGACATTTGAGCCATCAGCGCTACACCTGCTGATGGTTGGCTCGCCTGGGGCCCAGTCAGTGTAAAAAACATAGCTGAAAAGCCGTGAATTAAATTTAAGAAAAATATTGATTTATTTTAACACTAACCCTTGAACTGGATGAACCGCAATTCCTCTTGGTTTTTTCAAAACATTTCTATCCAAAACGGTTTTTCTCATCCTTCCAAAGTGACCAACGTCAGTTCTAATCATTTCGATTGAAGATCTTGCACCATCCACAAAGTAGAGGAGGTGACTAATCCAGTCATAGGCCATGCCTTCCACAGAATCCAAATTGGTTCTCACCAAAATTTCAGGCTCTGAGGAGCCACTCTCCATGCATTGTCTCTGTTTATTAAAAATTATTCAAAAATTCATTAAATATGCTAACTTATCTCACCCCAATGAAATCCTGGTCTGCGTCTCCATAGTACAAACAATTGTTCTTCAAATCGTACTCTATTCCAATCACAGCTTTGATTCCTTTTATGGGGACTTGCCTGAACTCCATTTTTCCACTGAGGGAAATAGTTCCAACTTTTTCCCGTTCAGAAACAACCAGGAATTCTTCTTGCTCCCTGCAAAAGCACAAATTACAGCAATGATACAGAGAGAAGAATTAATTTACTTCATAGGACAGGGCAATACAGATGGCATGAATCGCTGCTCATCTCCGCCTTGGCAAACATCTCCTGGAATTTTGTTATAGCCTTTGGTCCTGTTGTAGGTGGCGCCAGGTTTGCATGAAGATGGAACTGCATAGGGGTTGAAGCTCTGTGTCTTGTTCCTCACACAAGTTTTGATCTCCGAATTACGTACAAATCCGAAGTCACTATATGATAATTTAGCATGAAATACACCAGATTTAAAATGAATTTACCATTCAAAATCTTCAGCATCGCATTCGCATATCTCCATTTTAACAGGTCGATCGTAATCTTTGCCGTTGTAGCATCTGGCATGCGGAACTCTCCTTTGGTAAGTCTCCTTTTTACCGAGAATGCATTGCATGTGAGGACCATCAATGCTGCTGGGAGACCAAAATTTGTAATCATCATCGGTGCAGTCGTATTCTGGAATTCCATGAAATATAATTTCAGAAAAAAATCTTAATTAAAATCTTACTAAAGGCGCTTCGGAGATCTATTTTGACAATAACCCATTGGTGCTTGGCAGGCAAGGATCCGAACATAGTGAATGTTGTAGTGTTTTCTCCAGGCTCCGTCATCAAGCCATAGATCTTGAGCCCCTCTTCATGGAACTCTAGACTTTGCCACGATTCGCCTTCATCGACAGAATACACAATCTCCTTGGCCTTTGTATTTTCGCGGAAGTATTTGACTGCAACCACAATTCCACCATGGTCACCCATCATGTATGTGTACAGTCCTTGCAGCACTTTGCGCCAAGTGAGACCAGCGTCATGGCTCATAAAGATGCTGGCATGACTCTTCATCGATTTGCCAACAGCACCGGTGGCAATCACCAGACCAGGCGCCGAAGCAGAGCTTAGAATGGGAATTGACCTGATTGAAGGGTAAAGCTGGCCAAACTTTTGTGACAGGTGCAGAGAGCAATCTTGAGCCTGTAAAGAGTAAAAATTACTGAAGACATCACATTTTGTTAGCTTCCTTACGTCTCAATTTAAATTAATGGATATTATTCTGACAAATAAAATTTTAGAAAATAATCAAACAATTGAATGAAAATAATTTATGTTAGAACAAACAAATCAATTCTATTATTGAATAGGCAATAAAAATGATCGATATTGCAACTTACAGCATTGCAATCTATCCTCCGTCCATGTTCGTCAAAAGTAGGGGGACTGATTTTGCGCCACTCGCCACCCTGATCAAAAGAGATCAGAGTGACCAGACTCTCAGGGCCAATCCTCTGCATACCCTCCTTAACCTGTGATGCAATGTAGATTCCTCGCACACCCTTCACCTTGTAAATGTCAGCAAAGGGGTCATTTGTCAGGTCCCTACAGAATTTAGAGTTTAAGCAAAAACTTCTTCACACATATTTGCTAATTACTTGAGAAGAGAGTCGGCCCATGTGATATTAGGGAAGTAGGCAAAAACATTTGACAGCGAAAGAGAGAAGCGCAGCGCGTTCTCACTCAGATAATCGGAGACGTAAAGGTTTGAGACAGTTGGGCCGTGGCTGATGGTAACCATGATCTGGTCATTGGACACGTCACACACGTGAAAAGACAGAGAAGGCAGGTCTGTCGGAAACATTGCTGGCACAAATGGCTTGTTGTTGTGAGAAATCACCATCTCGTAGGCACCCTGAAAACATAAAACAACCAAAAACAATAAATACCATGATGTGGAGAAGAGTTTACTAAATGAATTAATAATTTAACTTTTTCTATGATTTTTTTTTTAATTTTAAACAAACAGAGGAAAGAATGCATGCATAAAGTAAGCATTCTTTTCACCACTCTCTAAATTAAGTGTGATTTTCTTTTTCTTTATTTTATAACTTAACCACCACTAAACTTATTTTTTTTTTCAAATTTGCATACACAGCCGCCTCATAATTAGGTAAGCTTTTCAATAATTCTGCAAATAACTTTATAGCATGATCAGATGAGCAAATAATTATCTTAAATATAGGTTCTCATTTAATAAATTTAAATAATAAATCTTAAAAAAAAAAATTGAAACTGAGCTTTGTTCTTTTGACCCTCGCTCTTTGACAATGCAATCCCATAAGAGTTAGTTTGTTTAACACTCCAACCGACTCCAACGACGTAATTGAGCCACGCAGGTTTATTTTATTTTCTACCCGCCGCACGCTCGTTTGTCAAGTGGTGACGACAAACTACGACAAACGAGCTGCTTTATTTTTATTTTAAGCGCAGTTTTCCTCTAACCTGATAAGATAAACTCATATATATGTGAAATAAAAAACGTAAAAACAAGCTTTATTTACGAACGTTGATTTTCTTTTGAAACTTGAGAATTTTGCACATAATGGAAAATTATCTAATATATTATATAAGAAGCAAACAATTAAACATATTCTCTACTTGAAACTAAGTATATTGATGGGATTCTTACATCCTTATGTGGAAAATTAAGAAGGGGTAAGGAAAAACAAGATGTTATGATAACCGGTGCTGGTTTAATGTTCTAAATTGTGGTGGAAAACCCTGGCTAATAAAACTTGACCGTGAGCCAGCTAAATCCAGCTGGCTACAAATCCCCTCAAATTGCAAAGCATGCATGAATATGAGTTTTTTGCTTGAAGTGCTAATTGACGGGAAGAGGAAACCATGCTGGCGGAGAAATGAGTCGAGTAGGTGACTCATCTGCGTGTGAGCAAATTCATTTCAAAGAGCGCGGACCCACACAATTGAAGATAAGAGGAAAACCATGTGACATGTTGGCTAATAATTTAATAAAAAAAGCACGCCCTTATCTCAAAGATGAGGGTGGTTGTAAAAATTTCATTTTAGGGTAGTAAACTTGTTTCTCTATTATTTTATCTTTTATCACATAAAAAATAAAATATAATTAGGTATTTAGAGGAGATGGTTCTAGTTCAAGAAATATAATGTTCGAATAAAGAAGTGCAAAATTCCTACGAACTGAAATTCTGATTCTGTAGTTCTTCTTTTGTAATTTGAAAAGTAAATCACTAAAAGTGCAAAGACTTCTTTTCTTTGTATTTTGAAAGCCCGCAGTGAGGCAAGAAGTGCAAACCAAATCTATAAATATGCCATGCCGCTGGCACAATGTTGTCTGTTGTCAAACAGTGTTCGTTATGAGCAATATTAGCGCAACCTGACTCGGCCACTCACCTTTTGGCTGGTCTGCTTGCTGGCAAACATGTAGTTTTCAATGACTTCAAACTGGACGACTCCTTCAATGACCACCTGGATGTCGCCTTTGATGCGGAACAGACTCGGGGAGGTGAGAACTGTGAAAGTGCCCGTCGGCTCCTGACGCTGAACATACAGCACTGGAGTCTGGCCAGGCACATTTTTCCACTTGAACGAGTGCACATACTCCTGGACCATCGTCCAAGTACTGCCAAAGTTTGTCGAGAGCCATAGCTGAGGGCAATAAAAATGGATTAATTTTTTAAATTTAGATTTTTATCACTTTGTTAAGAAATACATTAAGTAAGTTTATATTAACTAGAAACGGAATCATATCTGTTACATAATAAACCAATCCTTAAAAATTATTATTCATAGCAGTATTTAAGAAAAATTAATAAAAAAATCTATTAACTTTTCTTTCCTGGGCGCTGGAATCAAGGACAATTATCGTTTCAAGTTCTTCTTCGTGGAATGCAAGCTCTGATATTTCAAACTCCACACTCTGCCTTTTGATCGTCTTTCCAAAGTCGTTCGTAGTGAAAATAACTTTGTTCTTGCTGTCTGGGAACAGAAACTAACCAAGGACAAAGTTTAGATTCTTGATAGTGCATCTTTGCAATTCTTGAGATGCTTACATGGCTGCTGAATTTACTGTGCTGATAGAACTTGTCAAGATGAGCATAGGGAGCGTCCGGCGAATCATTCAGCTTGAAGTGGTCGGTTTTGTTCTTGAAAGTCGAACCGTAATCGTAAGAGATGTAAACGGCCGACGGACGCAGACTTTTGGTCGTGCCAGACACAAGTACCACGTCCTTCGCAAGACATACCACAACGTTTGAGTTGTCGCCGGCCCAATGGACCATCAGTTGTTGTCGTGTGTCGTTCAGATGATAAACCTCCAAGGTGGAGGGCTGAAACAAATTTATTCATTATTATTTTCCTTTTCCTTGTTACAAAGAAATGCGCATTAATCTATTTTTGGCTAGTGCGGTTGACTGAATGCCAAAAAATGTCCCGACCTGCCCAACACCTTGTTTGTTTCACTGTTTTGCGCACCGGCAAAAGATAGAAAGTGTGTAAACCGAAAGAATTTATCTGCCAATTTTATGAGAATTCTTTTGAAACATAAATAATTTTTAAATAAAATTCACCTTTGCTTTGGCATTGTCCACGCCTTTGGTAGTCTCTCGGCGCACTCGAGGTGCCGGTTCAGCATTGAAAGTCTCCGAAGTATCTATATCAAAGACTTTTGGTCCTCGGACAGACTTGGCCACCAGGTCGGCTGAAAAGGTCAGCGAACCACCGACAGGTTGCAAGTCGGCAGCTAACCACGCAATCAGCAGCAGCGCGAGCAACGCGAACCGCCGCGGACTGTCCATTGTGTCTGAAGACAGCCCAGTACTAACTCGGCGTCCCAAACGAAACTTTTTCTCGAATATAATTATCAGCCACAGAGCGGTCCCGTGACGATGAATCTCGAATTCTGATCCGTGTGTGTATGTAATATTGTTTGTGGTCTCCGACAGCTGCGACTGGCCGACTGGCAGTCTGTGCTGCCACCTAGGAGTCGTACTATCGGGTGGCGCCGCGCTGGTTGCATAAATGGTCGGACCTTTTGCTTTTACGACGCAAAATGAGATTGGGGATAAATAATTATATTCGCGTTGCCATGCACGCGCGCTTTCAGCGGCGTTTGGCAGGCTTCATTGGATTTTTAGGCATTTGTGGCCACCTACATACACCCTCAACCTAATTTAATATTCCTTAATTATATATTGATCACATTATAATATTTCAGAAATTGTAAATCACTACATATTATGTTATTAAGTACAATTAAAAAAAAATTACTGGCATCTTTTTTAAAATATGTATATATTTTTTAATATTCTCTAACCCACTCAAACCATTTTTTTTTTTTACTTAAAAGCAATTAGATCTAGGATAAAATATGAACAATGTATGACTTATTGTTAGTAGTTTGATGCGGTGATGAGTAAATTTGGAATAAAAATAATCTTAAAAATATTATAAAATTATTTGGATAGGGTGTGTAAATCATTAAAAAATTATTGTTACAAATTTTATAAAAATATTATTGATTTGCGCAGTTTCAAAAGAAATTAAACATTAATAATTGATATATAGATATTGGATCTAATTGGAATATTTTCAGTTAAATCCCTGTGACGTGTTTTAAAAAATAGAAGAAAATCACTCCTTGATTGTGACAGGAATGTTATCTTGGATGAATTCGGGTGGCAGAGGAAGTGACGAGTAAACCGGATATCTTGGAGAAAAAGCTTGTGACGCATGAATTTCTAAGTACTCTCCTGAAGCAACCGATTCCTCGTAACTTGGCGGTGCTGAGAAAAAATTAACAACTTTTTACAAAAAATTCATAAAAAAAAAAATAAAATTCTAACGCATAGAACTGTAGTACGATGCATCAGTGCTTTCGGGGGGTTCGGGCATCGAGTCAGATGGGGCGCTGGGCTCAGGGTTGTTCCAGCCAACAGGGGGTATTATACCATTATTAGCTGCGTTGAAGGAACCAAAGTGCGACTGGAAGGGAATGGTGCCCACCGTCAGCGGAAGGGACACATTGATATTGAGGTGCGGCCGCTCAGGCTCTGCTACAAGCTGTTTTTTATATTAATTTTTTTATTTTCATAATTATTTTATATAAAAAAAAACAATACTTTGAGTTTATAGCTGACATCAATGAGAGTGCAGTTAGACAATCCTGAAGGTGGAACTGCAGGGACTTGTATAAAAATACCTCTGAACCAAGTCCTTGACTGTTTTGGCTCAACAGCCCCAAGGTGACTTTCGAGAATGACTTTCTTGTCCATTTTTTTCACACCCATTGCAGTGAAGACAGAGTTCTTTTTGCAGTATTATCAAAAATAAGTTATAATTTTGTTAAAAAAATATTATTTTACCATGACAAGTGATAGCTTCACTTGATTAATGCGAACGTCGCTATTGTTTTCTATGTCGATATTAGGATTAATTAGTTGGCCGGGAACAATACCACTCTCCGGAAGACGCAAAATTACAGTGGTGGGTTTCGAGCGTCGAAAGAGGCCCCAAAATTTTTTAACGTCACTTGCATCCGCTTGGATCTGTTTTTTTTTTCAGTAAGAATTTGAATTTCCGTGTGTTTAAATGGAAACATACAGATAAATGGGGAAATCGATTCAGATCGAGGGGGCAGATGATGGTGAACAGAGTTTTAGATTCGTGGTCCCTGGCACACGGCTTGTCCACCTTGCAGCAAGCCATATAACGGACATAGCCAAAGTGTCCTTCAAAGGACGAAGGAATATTGTGAGGTAGGTTGAAGTGAAATGGATACTTGTGCTCGCCGGCCTCTAAAAGAGGGTCATTGGCTAAGGGAAAAAATACTCAATTAGGAGAATAAATTGATGGAAGATTTCCGAGTATCTAACGAGATGCAGGGAGAAGGGCGATTTTATACTCGAAGTAGAGTTCATTGCTCTTGAACACCTTCATCTCGTGGGGAGGGTGTTGGTTCTGCTGGAGGCTGGCCCTCCTGAGCTGCTTTTGAGGACTCCGCTTGTGTATCCATTCCTCCCATTTGCATTCAGCAGTGCCGGAAACACGAAGAGTAATGGCTACAGAAGAGCTGACAATGAGTGTCTCGATACTATTGCAAAACTACAATGTTACCTCTCAACCTGGTCGGAACGTCAAGTTGAAGACTGACGTGACCGTTAACATATTGACCGCAGTAAAAAGTGTTCTGGCCATTCTCAAAAAGAACCTGCACCCTCTCCATTTTGCCTTCAACCAAATCAAAATTAATCAACTGGATTGACGCGCGAGGTGCGCCTTATCTCCTGATAACCGCAAGATTACCAAACTTGTGAAACGGCAAATGTTACGATTTGTCGATTGTAATTAACAATTAGCTGAGCACTTTCGAGAAAAATAAACGCCTGCGTCATGTATTATATCATTTTTATCAGACGTATTTATTTGCACTTTTGTTCTTGACAAGCGCTGGGGCGTTGTGTATTGTTGTAAAATCACAAAATATCTAACATCTTCACATGAACATACTAAATTTGCACTACACTGCGAGCAGTCACTAGTCGCGGATGGGCATCAACGGCTCTCAATATTAGAGTCTGTATCTCAACTTTGTACAATTTTATTCATTCACGGCTTCTCGTCAATATGACTGTCAGTCGCGCAGCAAGATCTTATGAAGAACTACTAAAAAATAGGAAATCTATTGAGCCAACTTAAATATGAGTCGAGTCCAATTCCGACGTCAGCCTCACTCAACGAAAGGCCACTGTTGCTAAAAGCACCGTAATATCGTCTGGTTTTCCACCTTTATAAACAAATGAAAAAATTATCATTATTCAAAATAATTTAATTATGATAAAAATATTGTTATTTTAGAGAATATGACATAACCTTCATTAAAAAATTCAATCCTTTATATCAATGAGCAAACTAAACATAACCAGGGGTAAAAAAACTCACCTATGGCATCAATTCCATTTTCACGGGCGCTTTTGGCAAAGGGTGAGATGAAATTAGGGTCAAATGCGAGACTTCTGGCCATCCAAGCAATGGAATTAGCCACCCCCTGTATCTTGAACTCGTCTCTCACACCCTCCAGTCCTATCAACTCAGCTAGGAGAAGAGAGTCAGGCACGTTGTCGAAAACGCCGTCGGTGGCCAACAAAATCACATCACCATCCTCTACAGGGAAATCTGTCACATCAGCTGATTCAGGTCTGAAAAGTATCAAGAAAAGCTCAGCCTTAAGCATCACTTGACAAAAATTTCAACACACATACCTGTCACTCAATACGTGACCAGAGTGCTCCGGAGGAGCCAGTGAGAGTTGGAAGGGTGTGTTGAAATAGTGTTGCTGCTCTTCGGAGCGGTGCACAACTTGGCCACCTCGCACAACCAGAAATCCACTGTCGCCAATGTTGGCTGTGTGTACAGTGTTTGTCTCTCGATTCAGCATCACCACACAAGCAGTGCTACTGCCTGAAAGAAGGTAAAAAAATTTATAAATTTGTCGATGTAATTCTTTAAACGCTAGTCACCTATGATGGGCTGCTTGTTTTCGAGCAGTTCCCTGTAGGACCTGGCAAGCAGCATGGCAGGGTCGGAGGAGCTGCAAGCGCCAGTAGTGACTAGCCGTTCACAGGTCTGCATTAGAAACCCTGAGAAGATTCCAGGGTCGATTCCGTAATGCCTCCATCCACCGACGCCATCAGCAACACCTGTTATGTAAGAATTAATTTTTGGTCAGAAATTTAAAAATCAATGACGAGTTTTCAAATACAAGTACAAATTAATTTTCTCATTTATGACAGTTCTGGATAAATTAAGTTAATTTGCTCAATTTGTGACTGCAGGGCTAAGAACAGAACAATTAATATAGAAAATATTGAATAATTTAATTATTAATTTATTTATATTTTTTATTTAATATAATGAGAAACTGAAAGTGTTGCAAGTAGTATGCAAAATATTGTTACCAAATAAGGCATTTTTTTTTTTTAAATATAAACAAGCACTTCTTAATGAATGAAAATTGACGCGTTTATTCTCGTCTCAGCTTTTCGCAATGCTGCCGACGAGCATTAAAACATAAACGTCCTGCTCGATTGACGCTCAACTCGCGATTAATCAAAGTTAAATAGAGCACGGCGCACAAACAAGGGTTACATAATTAAGCAGTTATTGCATGCAGCAAGGGCGCGACCCTTGCCCTGCGAAAAATCACCCTTTCATATCTCGTTTTCGCAAAGTCCCCGAAACGCAAAAGATTTTGGGCCGTCACTTCAAGGTCGTGGTCCGGTGTCTCGACCAACACGTGCGGCCAAAAGTGGCAAATTTAAAGGCAAACAAGGTCGGCGGGGAACGAACCTAGCACGTCGAGAGTCTTGTGCCTGCCGACGAACCACGCGTCGTCGCCGATTTGGCCCGGCTTGGCCGGCGCCCGTCGCTTCACCAACTGCTTCGGGAAGCCGCAGGTGGCCGAAACAAAGTGCGGCTGTTGGGCATTCGGCCGCGACTCGGTGCTGGTCGCCGAAGTGCTCGACTGCGTCCGCGAGCAGATCCCACTGATCAGCGCCCGCGAAAGATTCCTCCCCGTCCAGATCAGCGACTGCATCCTTCACACTGCCATGTCCGCTGCGGCCGCACCGACAGAGGTGCGAGTCGAATTTCGGCCGAAAAACAAGCAGGTCGTCGTCCTCGAGTACCTTTTTCGACTTGTTTTCCTTCACTCGTTTCGTCCAACGTCTCGTTGTCTGGATTCTCAAGACAGACAGACAGACGGACAGACGATTGGTGGAATGCAAGTCTGAAAAGCTCTTCGAAGACGGATCGATCGCAAGCAAACAATAACCGCCTTGGCCAATTTGCCGCGAATGGCGCGAAAACTTGCGAGAGTGGACGACCGCGTGGAGGAATTTGTACGATTTGTACATTATATATTCGATTGCAGAAATTTTAGATCTGCTATATAAAACAATGGTGAATCGAACTATAATTCTTAAATTACCACAAATCACACATAATGAATACAATACAATGCATTAATTTTATTTTTCCGTTTTATTTTTTTCGGCTGTGTAGATTTTTTTATTTTTTTTATTCTACAATTTTGAAAACAAATCTCTAGATCATGTCATGAGAAATTTTGGAAATTCCTTTCATTCCTTTGTGTGTCGGATTCTTTCGATTTCTCTTTTAAATTTTCACTATCATTTAATTATGATAATTATTTTAAGTGCATTTAGCGACCGCAATAAACAAATCTTATCATTTTTTTTCTAAAACAGTTTAATGGATTTTGATGGGGTTATTTACATTTTTAAAATTTGCTTCAAATAAAATAAGTGATTTTATTATTATAATTATCAATCATTAATCGTCATTTTATTACCATTAAATAAATACAAAAAATTAGGCATATCACTACACCTTTTTTTTAGGAAAAAATATATTTTCCATACTTTTTTTTAAACGAAGAAAACCAATACAATGAATTGTATATTATATCTAATATATTAATGCTTAATTTGTATAAGACGCCCTTGCAGGATCTTCTTGCTTATCTCACTCGTACTACATTAAAAGAGGCCAAGCAGAAAAGTGATAACACAAACTTTGCAAGTACCAAACTCGTCATTACTATTTTCTGCTCCGATCAGCAGGTTATCAAGCCGCAAGTCGGTGGTAAAGATAAGAAATAGACGAGTGGACGCAGCATTTCCCGATGGACCGGAACGATTTCCTGCGCGTAAATGCGCCCTATTTGCTCTCGATTGCAGTCAGTTTGTTCCTCCTCGCCCTATACTGGATCCTTTACTTGTGGAATGCCCTGTATTAGTTAGTGTGCTCCATCCACCGGCACGCGGCGCGCGGGTGCGCACGTGACCTGCGGCAATCATCTGGCTGTGTTTTGGTGTGCGCCGTGCGGTTGCCTACGTGAGGCGAAGCGCAGAGCCTTTTCGGGCAAAGTGGGTTGCGTCAGTTTGAGGCGATTTTTGCCTGGCCTGACAATACAAATAGAGAAATCGCGTGTCTTGCGTTGCGAGAGACGATGTTGCGCACCGTTATCACGACAGGTGCGCGCAGGGCCTCTTCATTTCTCGCAGGGCAACCGTGCACCAAACGGCCTCTCGCACTCCACTTTATTGGCAGAACCATGGCATCCACGAATATTCCTCTGTCTGAGGATTTCTTCTTCAGGCAGGTTAGTACAAAATCTTCCAAATATATTTTTTTCAAAACGTGACCTACTTTTTTTGCATTTTTTTAAATTTTATTTTACCTAGCTGTTCGACCGTGAGAGCTGCACCTACACATACCTTTTGGCAGACCTGAAGAGCAAGCAGGCTGTCCTCATCGATCCTGTTCTTGAACTGGCAGAACGAGATGCCAATATCATCAATGAACTCGGATTGACATTAACATTTGCAAGTGAGAAATTCTCTTTCATGTATTTACCATATTTATTTTACACTTAGAGTTCAAAATTTATATTATTCACTTGAATCAATAATAATTGATAAAAACAGACTCTAACTCTAAGGTAAATTTCATGACGTAATATCAGATAAAAATTATTTTACTAATTTTTGTTTTGTTTAGTGAACACTCACATGCACGCTGACCACATCACCGGCACTGGCAAGTTGAAAACGCTCATCCCTGGTTGCAAAAGCCTTATATCAAAGGCAAGTGGTGCCCAAGCTGATGTTTATGTCAACGACGGAGAGGTCGTCAATTTTGGCAGACACGAATTAGAAGTTCGAGCAACTCCGGGACACACTAATGGTGATTTATTCTCAATGATTTAGATTTATAAATCATTGCACTTAATTAGAGGAAATTTTCAGAACAACTATTTATATTATTGATTTAAAGTTATAATATTTAAAATATGAATTTTGCTTTGTAAAATTTAAAATGAAAAATATTCACAGATTAAACAATAAGAATTTACTTTTTTTTCTTCATTTTTTATCTAGGTTGCATTACTTATGTGTGCAAGGAGCAGGGCATGGCATTTACAGGTGACACCCTGTTGATTAGGGGCTGTGGCCGCACAGACTTTCAAGAGGGTAATCCGACCACTCTGTACGAGTCGGTGCACACAAAAATCTTCTCTTTGCCTGAAAACTTTAAATTGTACCCAGCCCATGATTACAAAGGTATTTTTTTTATAACTGAATTATAGTAAATTTAATGGTGTTTGTAATATTTAGGACTAACGGAAACAACAGTTGGGGAAGAGAAAAAGTACAACGCCAGATTAACAAAATCACTGAAAGAGTTTGTCCATATCATGGATAATCTGAACCTTCCATACCCAAAAATGATTGGTAAGTGTAAAGCTGCATTCACAAACGATGCAACTATTATATTCTGAATCAATAAATAAAACTTGTCAAAATGTTATCTTTGGCTGATAATGATTTTCTTTCTGCACACAGATAAGGCCGTACCTGCCAACAAAGTCTGTGGTCTGCAGTTTTAAGATGTTACCATTGTATTGCAAAATCCTAAATCACGGGTTTTATATTTTTGTATTTGTTTGGTATTGCTCTAAATGTGAATGTGAGCCTGGAGGTGACTGTGTAACCTGACTGAGCACAGTTTACTTACGAAGCAAGTGGAATTAAATATCCAGACATTAAATGCATTCGTATATTTAAATTTCATGTCTCTAGATAAAAAAAGTGCAAAACAAGACTTTTTTTAATTTCATCGATTATATGAACATATTATATATTTTTATCATCCCATAGAAAATACTCCGTTTGGTGACCGCACTATATAGGAGATTTGTCTGGTAAAAAAAAAATAAAACAAAATTGTGTCACTTTAAGTTAAATTTTTTTTCTTCGTATTTTCTAAAATGCTTCTGATTTCTAAGCTAATTGTAAGAAACTGTTTTTATTAGTTTCTTACTTTTGATTTCCTCTGAAATCTTGAATGTTTAAACTGAGCGGATGTCACACACAAGCGTGCAAAATTTGTCATTGCTCTCTAGCCTGGCGTGTGCTCTTATCGAGCGCGCGCGTCTCAAATTTTGAAATAGAGCCAAATCTATTTCTGTGTAAATGCATATACTGTCCACACGCTGTGGTGTTGTTCCCAAAATCTCATCCCGGCAGTAAGGAGTTGGTGCTCGCCAAGTGCAAACAACTACAGCTAGGAACCACCGAGATGAAATTGGCCCATTGCAGGGTCTCCGTTTTAGTCATCGTCCTGATTGCAATTACTCCACGAGGTGAGCGCACCCAGACCATTGTAGATGTGGACGAGCTACATTTTAGTATTAAGCAGATGCAGTTGGAAAACAGGACGAGTTTTTGTTGGGTTTCGACTGCGACGAGGAGAGGTCGTGCCAAGCCCTGAATGAGCATTGTGACGCCGGCTTTTGCAAGTGCAAGCCTGGATTTGTGCGAAATGCGCTGCATTGCTTTCCAGGTTAATTAAGAACATTTATATTTACCAGCAAAACTTAAATTCCTGCACAATTACTTAATTATTAACTAATTCCAGCCAGAAACTATGGAGAGTCTTGCTTTTTTGACGTGCAATGTTCAGTATTCCCATTGATTTGCGCAGATCATGATGGAACTGGCGTTAAAAGATGCGACTGTCATAAGTAAATTTCAGAAGAGATATACTATAATTTAGAATTAATTTATATGAAATCGTATCTCATATAGATTCTTTACGTGGGACAAAAACACTGAAGAATGTCACCACTCTGAAAATATATCAGCAATGGTTTCAAAATTGGAGCAGAAGTGGGACTATGAAGGTATAGTACAATTTTTTTTTAAATAATATAATCCTGTACAAAATTTATGGTTAATGATTTTTCAGCAAGAATTGATGAAGATGCAAAATCTGTATTTCCTGGTATCGTGGCTGCTGGAATCATGGTTTTGGTGATTGGGGCCGTGATGGCTACAGCGTGCACCATTTATGGCTGCTACTCGGGAAGCTGGAAGTGCTTGAGCAGGTATTATTTGATTGGATATAAAGAAAATATATTTTAAGTTAATTCAAAAATTTAACTAGACGAGAAAAAAGATCGATTACTTTAACTAAAGAAGAGCCCGAAAAAACTTCTAAAAAATTGGAAAAGATTGAAGCTACAGATGTGCCCCTGTCGTCCGATCCTGTCCAAGAGGTTTAAGACTTTTTTATCTTCATGCAAACCAAATCTAAATTACACATATATGCATTTTACTCATATCTTCAAATTTGAAAGCATCATTTAAATAAAACAAATCATGGTGATTTGAATTTAAAATCGGCTTTTCCTCAATGGGTTTTTGTGAGTTGTTTATTGTTTCAGAAAAAACAATATCCTGCTCTACATGTTTCGGCTGCAAATCAATTTAACAGTACAGAGGTTTTTTAATCTTTTATTATTGTTGTGTGAGACGCAGCCTGCTAAGCTGGCCTGCAATGCCAGTTGCATAAGTCTGATAGTTAGGTTCCAAATAACTTGACTGCGATGCGATTCAACATTCAACAAAATTTTAAATTATTAATTTTTTAACTTTTTATTACAAGCTCAGCTTATAAAGGAAAGAAAGAAAAAAGTTAATATTGATATAAAAAGTTTTTATTTTTTATTAATGTGGCTCACGGCGGCGCTCAACATGTTGGAAATTTTAGCGAACCTGTCTTTATAGTTTTTCAATATAACATTTTTTTAATTTTCATTTTTATTCATGATGTGAGTGAAAGAAAATAATAAATAAGTTTATGAGGATTTTTGAGGCCTAAAGTGCGCAAAAAATACAACTGTTTGATTTTTTGCTGACTAACTTCTAATCATCAATGTAGTGCAGAGAAAAAAAACAAGGACAAAACTTATTTATTATAATTTGATTTGTAATACACACTTTAACAGTTTTCAGTTATGAAAGGCTTGGAAATATTTAATTCGTCTTAAATATTTGGTTAGTTTAATTTGCATTATCATTCATGCTGCTTTTAACAGAATAGAAAACGCTGAACAGCAATGAAATGTTAAAATATGTAATTTATCTAAGATTTCCTACTTTTAAAACTTTATTTTATTGATGCAAGTTTTTTTTTATTCTTTTGTAACAAATAGCAAGAAACACCAGCCTGTCGTGAACTGCACAGACAATAATGATAGTCTCTCGTTGACACAAATAGATGTGGACGATAGTTTGTTCAGTCACTATTTTGAGAATGATTTACGCTGGTTGGGGGCAGCGGCAACACACACTAAACGAGAATATCGGTCACTGCGCGAATTCATCACGCAGCGTGTGCTCGTCGGCTGGAAACAAGAGGCCAATAACTCAAGCAGCGGTGGATCTCTCTCCGTATAGGCTCCAGAGGAAAAAACGCGCGCGACGGACGAGGTGAGCACAACAAATTGCGTGTCGCGCCTGTCACTGCTTGACCACAATATTTATATTACGTGTATAAGCAGAGGGCTTAGCGCGCGAACGAAAAATTAATCGCCGCCTAATTAATTATTCGCAATTCATGGCAGCCGAGCACGCACGCTGGAAACTCTTGCGGTAGCTGCTCCTGGCGAAAAATTGACGACCTTGTGTAGATTAAAATGCGGATTGCGAGCCGAGGCTGAATTAATATTTATTTATATCTGAGAAGATTTGAATTTATTATAAAAAAAGGGAAAATTGTTTTAAGCGAACTCACAATCAAAATGCCTTTTTACTGTAGAAGACAAATTGAAATTGGGAAAAATGCAGCCATGAAATTTTGAAATTTTAAAATTTTTTAAAGTATTCAGAAAACATCGTCTCACTCGTGGACGGAAAATCTCAAATCTGGATGATACAGGAAGTGGTACAGAAAATTTATTTGATCAAAAATGTGGTAACATACAAAAAAGGGTACTTTGCATTAACAAACAAATAAGACTCTTCATCTTCATTTGATTCACTAATTGCGAGGAAACCGATTTTGACACATTCTCTTGATCTCTTGATGAAGCAAGCAAAAAAATTATTAAATATGTTTTGAACACACCAATCAGATCTATGATCCTGTTCCTCAGTTTTTTGTTTCTCTTGCAAAGAATCAATTAATTTCGCGCACGCGGACACAATAATTATCTGCTGCATCCTTTGTAATTGGTTTTCTGGTCGATCGCGCCGATAATAAAGTCCTCATTGTAAAATTTAATAAAGTCACGCGGCGCCCCCCGCGTGCGCGTGCTGTGGCACCGACAAGTCTCTCGCACAGTCTCTTTGTCCGCCGGCAGCTCAAGATTATAAATAACAAAATCAAAGCGCGCTTTTTCATTAATTGTCCGCTTTGTCTTTTGCGGCACACAAGAGTTTCTTTCCTCCTCGATAAAATCTTTGCTAAATTGATTCCCCTTTCACATTCAAAAGACCGCCGGCGAGCAATAAATTTATTTATAAACGCATATATGTGCATATTGGGTGTCAATTTTTCACAAAATTGTTAATAATCAATGTTTACTTTCGAGATGGAGAACTGATATCGTTTAAAAAATCATGCAAATTGAAACTATTTAAACTTTAGATCATATATTTCTATTTGTTTTTTTTTTTAATTTGATTTTCAAGCGCTTTTTAATAGAATAATTTAACTTAGTTGTTATACATCATCTAAAAATAGGATTTTATATAGGATGAGCCCCTTTAATTGATGGAGGTATATTTTGACATTATATGTGGGTGTTGCTTTTGGCGGTATACGCAGATAGCGCAGTACACACATATATGTGCGTAGGCGCAAAACAAACTGGTAGCAGAGTGGTCCATTAAAGTTTAAGTAAGACCGGAAAGGCATCTGCCCTGTATTTATTTATACCTTGCTTTACTTTCGTTCTGTTTAATCTTTGTTCAGGTAACCGTCTTTGGCAAACCTAAGCAAATATCAGAGAACCTTTTAATATTTTGTGCAAATAGTTATAAAACATTTAAAACAAATATATATAGGATTAAAAAATAAATGCCGGAGAGGGCAATCAGTTCAAGCAGATCAATCAATTTTGATGAAAATATGTAAGCCCCTGAATTAATTTATTAAAAGAAGATAAACAAATTAATTGAATTGTTTATTTGAAAACAATATTACCCATTAGTAGCTAGCTCATCTATTTGTATATAAATTAAATGACTGACTTTCATAAACCAAATTACTTTGTGTTATTGATTAAATTAAATTAGTAAATTATTTATAAGGGAATAAAAATGCAGTGGAACCTGATTTTTTTGTGTCTATCCAATTTTTCTATGTTTAATTGCTTTTCTATGATCAATTAGTCTTTATACACAAGGTTTCACGCAAGTGAAATTTGTTCTCTGGAGAATTAAATTTTTTGGTTAAAATTCCAAAATTCTGTGAATTTAAAATACAAAATAATTAAATTAAAAAAAATAGCTTTGTGAATGGATGAAGGAATCCATTTATATTTACATAATATTTAAAAAGGCAAACGATAAATTATACATTTATTTCCAAGCGACTGTTTTGCGCATTCGCTTTCATTTGGCCGCAACAGAAGCACTTGCAGGGTGAAAAGTTAATTACAAGTTCATAATTGATGTTTCAATTAAAACCAGTAGCCGTTGCAGAATGCGCGAAACTGCGAATAAAAGCGTCAGGTATGTTGGCTTTTAAATATTTCACCCATTTGTTTACTAAAAAGCCAGTGTACCATTTTCATGTCAAGCCGACTAAATATGCAAATGAATATCGTAATTAGCAAATATTTGCAGCGCGGCGGTGGAAACGATTCCCACGCGCAACGGTCCAAACTTTCCATTCAAATAATATATCAACAAAACGACGCCGCTTAGACGCTGTGATGAGAATAAAATACAAATTTATTCCACTCTTAATTAACAAAACGATGACAAATGAAGCAAAAAGGAAACGACTGTTGTTGAGAGAGGGAGGAGTGAGAAGAAATTTAGAATAAGCTATACTGGTTTACTTCGGCACGGGACGGTCCGTTTGGACAGAGTGGTTGATGAAGACTAATCGACGAGTCGTGCATACTTTCCATCTAGTTTTTCATCTAATTAAGAATGATATACATTGCGTTCTAATATGTAGAAAATTAAGAAAATATAACTTAATGTAGGGAGTAAAAATTTCTTAATAAAATTTTTTTAATCAAATCAATTATTTTCAGTAAAGAGAAACAGAAATTTAATTGAATTAATTAAATAAATAAATTAAATAAAATAACTTAAATTGCGTAACTTCTTTATATCGCTTATCTTTTTTGATAAAGTAGTATAATGAATAACAAAAACAGAAAAAAAAAACAAAAAAAAAACCGTATCCCAATTTTTTATTCTTTTTTCTCCCTCTAATATTTATCCTTATTTTTATGGATGTTTTATTCTCAGTAATTTATTTTATTTTGGTGCAATTCAATAAACATTTCCATAAAAGTACTCTGAGCTCTGAGAAATTATTTCTTATAAGATGGGAAAAATTACAAAGTCGTATCATCTTCTATTTAAAATGATTGATGGCGTTGAAATCAATTAAAAGCAGGAAACTGCTCACGGTTTCTATAATCCTTTTCAAACAAGCAGAGCACCCCCGCCCGCACTCTTCCTCTTGAGCAGTATTTTTATTTGTAAGTTCTTCTTGACAAATAAGCCCGCTTTAATGCGCTGACTCGGCAATAATTCACCGCCCAACGACCAACAGCTGAAATGAAGCAGCAACCTGCTTTTGTGCTCTAGGTGAATATTTTTGTCGCACCCCCAACGAACGCAACCCTTTCTTTTGTGGTACGCGCGGGGGTCGCGTCACGGGCAGACATTAAGTTAAGGACGCACACCTGTGACACGTGAAAAGAGCAGTTTGTCAGCTCGGAATAAATGTATATTTATGCGTTTTGAAAGCGGAGACGAGAGAAAAATTTGATTGCGCGCCGCACCGGCAGCCAGCAGCTTCCTGCCGCGTGGAGGAAAATAAATATTTTCAATTTATTCGCTTTTTGTCAGGTGTTTTGTATCAAAAAGGCAGCGAGAGAGGTGGAAAGTAAATTGGAGATGACGCTGCTGAGAAGCATGCTGGGAAGGTCAGATTTTATTCCTGATGATGCTCTCCATCTCATTCTGATGAATTTTTTTCTATTACTTATGCAAATCACGGTCAAATTGAAAACCATTATTTGAATGCGTATATGTAATAAATTTAAAAGAGGCGCGAGAGAGATAAAGTTTCATAAAAAGAAAAATTGTACATATTTTTATAAACCTAAAGCCATTTTTATTGAATTTTACATTAGGACAAGCTTCCTTAA